TAGTTGCCCGAAAGGTGTATGAAATGGTAAGCAGTATTTGCACGTCGCCGAACTGAAAGCAGCCATATTGCTGGCTTGGTCTCAAATTGGTCTTTCCACTTTGAATGACCTCGTTTTGAGCATGCCCAGGCGTTGTGTGGCAGTGCTGCAATCTAGTGGCGCGATTACAAAGTACTAGCTTTGATTTTGTGTCAATTGAACTGTACACGTTCATTTGTTGTTTGATGGCGTATAAATATTGCGCACTGCGTAAGCTCAAATCTGCTTTGAATCGGCAACTCAGTGCTGCCCTTGAACGATTCTCGTTCAAGCACGCAAATATTGTTCGTAGAAGGCAGTCATCCAAGTTCCAGCTCATGCAACCGTCTTGCAGCCACTCATGACACGAATTTTTGCATGTCGTATACTTATTGCGCGCACTGTAGCTCTTCACGCGGGCCTTGAACACGCTGAAGCAGCTCTCGATTGTGCTGTGCGACAAGGCTCCAGTCGTCGCCCCGGAGGTGTGCGTCAAGCACTCGCTGCTTCTCGTCGGCTGTTGGGCCTTTGCTTTTCTTCATTCGAAGACAAATGAAAATGAACGTGATTTCATTAGTCGGTGTGGTTACCGCGCAATTTTTGCGCGCCTTTCAAATTCATTTTGATTGGAACTAAATTCATGTTGATCCGAACTTTTGCACTCCACATCACTTCCCAAAATTTATATTTTATTTTGATTTCACATTGACATGTGAATCGAAAAATCTTTCAACTTGGCCGGGAATAGGTGTAGTATTCCTACAACGAGGATAAAGTCAGCAGGTTCATGCATTGAAAAGATAGTATATCCAAGATGATTTCATGCATGATATCATGGACAAGGTTGGAAAAGTATATGTCACCCATTGGCTAAAATTACTCCGAAAGGCTACAATTTCTGCATGCAGATAGTCCTGCGACAATACAAAAATCGCGAAAATATGGTGAAGAACCACTGGGGACACGTTTCCGTCGTCACCATGAGAAGAATATCCGTTGTGAGAAAATCGTTGGCGCACCCACGTTAGAAAGCACCGTTAGAGAAACACGGCAATCGATGCACTGTCGAACTTCCCCTGTGCCTCCAACACTACATGGCGTCATCTGTGTCGTTCCACCTCGAGCTGCGCAATGGCCATTTCGTGGACGCAGACGGTCGCGTGGTGCTCCTTCGAGGCGTGAACCTTGGCGGGTCCACCAAGGTGCCGTCGTCAGCTCCAGGTAGTACGTCCATCTCGTTTGTGAACAGGCCGTTCCCGTTGACCGAAGCCGACGAACACTTCAGTCGGTTGCAGCGATGGGGCTTCAACTGCATTCGATTCCTCGTGACGTGGGAAGCCATTGAGCATGCAGGACCTGGCATCTACGACACGGAATACTTGGCATACGTCCGCGCGATTCTCGTCGTTGCACGTAAATACGGCATGTACATCTACATCGACCCCCATCAAGATGCCTGGTCGAGATGGACGGGCGGCGACGGCGCACCCCTATGGACTCTGACGGATTTGGGCCTGAACCCAGCTAACTTCGATGTCACCAAGGCAGCTTTGTGCGCAGACTCCACGACAGACTACCCCAAGATGGTGTGGCCCACGAACAACTTCAAGTTCGCGTGTGCCACCCTGGCGACCCTCTTCTGGGCTGGCAACCTGTGCGTTATCCTTGCGGCATCGTAATTGTTGTCTTGACGAGCAGTGGTGCATTAGCCTCGCCCCGGGCGTGCTGCTGCATGGAGAGCCTGTCCAAGACGTACTACAGCGCCATTACATTAACTCGATGGTGCAATTGGCCCATGCTGTGGCTGACCTCGATCACGTCATGGGCTTTGGTACGTCACTCTGGTGTTCTCGTTGGACTGTAGCGCTCCTCGCAGGATCGATGAACGAGCCCGTGACGGGGTACATTGGTGTCGCCGACATCGAGCAGCACTTTACCGCGAACGAATTCAAGCTCGGGTATGCGCCGACCCCTTTCCAGGGCATGTGCCTTGCCAATGGGATCGATTGCAAGGTCGAAGTGTGGTCAACAGGTGCAGTACTATCTTTGTGGCATCTTTGGTTGACGAGGGCGGCCAGGCATCAACCAGTACATCTTGGGCAGGAGTGATCGGAAAGAGAGCGTAGCCGTGAATGGGGTGCGCGCGTGGAAGGACGGCGTGGGCTGTATCTGGAAAGAGCTCGGGTTGTATGACGTGGACCCTGTCTCCAAGAAACCCACGGCCCTCCGCCGCGACTATTTCCAGAACGTGGACTTTGGTCGCGATTGCTACGTTCCGTTCGCAACGGTACGTGGCTCAACGAAGACCTGGGGCTTCATTTCCCTCGCCCATCTCATGCGTGATGCAAATGCAATTTTTGATTCGAAGGGGGAACTTACTTTCGTGTAGGCATATGCTGCATCGATACGCCAGGAAATGCCGCGTGCAATGCTGTTTGTCGAGATGCCGCCAATGGAGTTCATGGCAGCACCCTTCCCGACGATATCGATTCCGCGGTCGGTGAATGCGACTCACTGGTACGACGGTATCACGCTGTTCTTCCGCGTGTGGTTGCCGTGGTTCACAGTAAACATGCACACGCCATGGCCTGTCTTTGGCCGCAAAAGAGTTCGCGTGAGCCATGTGAATGCCCTGTCGGCCATCAAGGCCACGACGACAAGATGTATGCCATCAGACACACCAACTCTGATCGGCGAGTGCGGAATCCCTTTCAATCTCAATGATGGCGCGGCATACGAGACGGGAGATTTTCAGCCGCAAGTCGACGCCATGGACAACACGATTAGCTCGCTGGAGACCAACGTGCTGAACTATACGCTGTGGTGCTACACATCCGACAACACGAACCAAACTGGAGACAACTGGAACTTGGAGGTAGGACGACGGCGATGCTTTGCATCTGCCCCCCGCGACTGCGGAAGTGGTGGATGTATGGTTTCAGAGCTAATTGTGACGTTGTCTAGGACTTTAGCTTGTTCAGCCGCGATCAAGCCGTTGGAAGCACGGATCGAGATGCAGGTGGCCGCGCCAAGCAGGGGTATGTCCGTCCCGCCGCGTGGAGAGTTCAAGGAGTTCCGACCAAGTCATTTTTTGACTTGGAAAGCATTTTGTACACCCTCGAGTTTGTCACAAACGGCGCAGCTGTGGACGCGCCAACAGTGATCTATGTGCCCCGAACAGTGCATTTTCAAGATGGCGTCGGCGTCACGGTGTCGGATGGGACGTTTTCGATAGAGCACTTGGACGGCTATGACTTGGTGCACTACTGCCACGACCCCAACCTGCCGAGCCATTCGGTCGTGATTAAGCGTAATCATATCTAGTTCGACGTTTTATGGGCGCGGCAGTGAGGTTGCCAGGTGGCGCTGTAGCTAGCGGCTATTCTTAGGAGGGGCTTGTGCGTGGTGCAGCCACATTTTTGCATGCAACCTGGCCGATGACAAAGTTCTCGCGGGGTATGGAAGCTATTCAAGCTGAAGACAGTCGACTCATGACTGCCAAGGCCACGAGTGTCACGCTGGGGGTTAAGGCCAAGTTAACGAACCAAGAAATGGACTTGTTGCGCCAGCAGGTGATGGCGCGCTCACTCGCTTCCCGCGCGTGAGATGAGCAGTTGCCCTCATGAACGGTCGTTGTGTAGCTGGCCAGGGCCACCGCGTACGACCATACACCTCAAGACAACGCGCTGGCACGCCAGCAACGCATCAAACGTCCCCCCCAGTTTGTCAAAGCGTCCAAGTCTGGCATCTACGACCGCGAGATCCCCGCCATGCCTGCCTCATCGAAACCAGGTACGTTGCCATGCCAAGCATCCACGACCCGTCGTGTCGCCCTCAAATGGAGGAGTGAGTCGTAGCCAAAAAGTCTGCGGCGGCGATCCACCATACCGTCGAGAAATTGAATCAAAGTGAACCCATGTATGTGCCGCGTCAGACGAAAGGAATCAACCAGCTCGACAAAGGTGCGAGCTCACTTAACTTGCCCAACGTCTTCAGCTTGGGGCACCAGATCGGTTGCAAGACTTGTACACCGTCAAGCCCCGGAAGCTCAGGTGGGCTACGTCACCAACAGTTGTGACTCCAGCTCACGCCGCCGCGTTTGATGTGCACGCACGTAGCACGGTCCCATTGAGCCTCATGGACACGGCGGCGATCGATGATCTAGACGACAATGGCCACTTCAAGAGCGGGAAACGGCTCGGGCCCGAGCACATTCCCCAAGTGTTTTTGCTCTAACGCGGCCAACAGAACCTTGGACTCGTCATTCTTTAGGGACAACAAAAGCACGCGGAAAGGTCAGCGAGCTAGTCTAACGCGCCGTGGAGGGGTGCCGACGCCGTCGCTGGCCGCCACCACGTAGCGACCTGTCGTATTGCCCTCAATTTATAGCAATTCAACCTTGACTTCGGTGGGGGCCTTGACTTCGGCATGGACTTCAATCTTCTTGAAGAACGCGTCCAAGCCAGCTTCCAGTTCCTTTTGTTCGGCTTCCGTGAGCTTGACGACCGTGCCTTGTTGGGCCTCCAAGTGTTCAGCAAACGCACGCAATTCCTTGCCAAAGGCAGCAGCGACGGCATCCGGCTTGGTTTCGTCAATGGCCTTTTCAGACAAAATGTCCAACGCAAGTTGGAACGCTTCCGCCTTGACTTCCTTCTTGCCGGCAGACAATGTCTTGCGGACGGCGGCGGTGGCCGACGCGACCATGGCTTCTTGAAGCTCTTGGTTGTAGCTTTGTTCCAGCTGGTAGATCGCTTCCAAGTTCTTCACGAACGTGTCGCGGGTCTTGTGGCGCAACTTGGCGTTTTGCACTTGGCAGAGCAACGCCAATGCTTCTTCGTGGGCGACGCCCAAGGTCGCAATGTCCTTCTTGATGGTCAAGATGGATTCGTGCGCCTTCAATGTTTCCTTGGCCAATGCCAAGTTAGCGTCTTCCACGGCGTTTTGTTCGCTACCCATACAATTCCGTAAGACTCGCACAAACAGGTCTGAGAGCAACGAGGACGTACGCCAAGATGGCATCGGCGCGGGATTCGAAGTACGAACCGATGGCGCTGCCGCCGTACTTGTACGCAGATGTGACGAACAACGCAAAGCAGCACGCCAATTGGGTTTCAGCGCCCAACTCGTACCACTAAAGACGAATCATTGAGGCTGCTGTACCCTGGCCAAGGGGTGAATATGGTCAACGTACGCCGTTGCTGATGGCAGGGATCGACACAGCAGCAATGATGGGCAGCGAGATCAAGGGGTCATCCAAACCGTATCGGTTCAAGAAGCTGCGGTTGTCCGCCGGGATGGCGACTTCGCCTTCCTTCTTTTCTTCCTGTTGGCGGAAAGCGCCTAAGAGACCGTAAGAGAAGGGCGACGACTGGAGTAATCAACGCACCAGTGTGGAAGGCCGCTGCGGCGGGCTTGAACGCCGACAAGCGGGCGGTGCGAAGGGCTACACGGCTAAGCATGCTGATGAATCGCGAAGTACCAGAAATGTATGGCCAACATCAGTCAGTTAGCCTCCACCTCCAAATAAACCTTCCCAGAATGCATAGGTATTCATTTGGGAAGGTTTATACGGATACGGTCCCCCTCGATACAAGACCGGACACTTCGACTCCATACTTGAACGCTGTATTTTGGATATATCTCGATGTGCTTGTAGCGAGAGAAAATGCAGAGAGGCCGCGGCCCCCGCGCCGCTTCGACGCAGAGAAGGGACATCCCGCTCGATGAAAATTGTCCACCGCTATGACGTGCAATGAATGCGACCAAGACGCTCACGGCGCGGCCTCGCTTTTTTATTTGGAGGCATACGTATCGAATTCCATCGCCACGGTGCGAATAGCGTAACTCGGCCGTGAAAATGACTATGTCGTGCGCCTTTGAAGAGATTGCGTCAGGGTATTTGACAGGGTGAATCCAGCTCACAAGGCGATGGCATGTATAGCATGCATGCGTGCCATGGTTGAATGGTAAAGCCCAACGACAACGGGGAAGTGCTGTTCAGGAGCCAAGTTGTCCGTCCATGTCTGTTCGGTTGTATCCAGCGCCTCCGGATAAAAAGGATTAAGCCATGAATGTCGTGGATAAAGTTGTGTCGGGCGGCAGTCGCCTCCTGGCGCTGTCGTTCCTGCAGCGCGGGGGCACATTTTTCATGAATATGCTAACGTTACGTCATCTTCCAACACATGTGGCAGGCGTGGGCTTCTCACTCGAGCTTGTGCTGTCCACAACGTTCATTGTTCGCGAAGGGCTTCGATTGGCGTCGCTGCGTGAACCTGGTCTCGTCAAAGCATCAGACAAAGGACATTCCGCACCGACAGTGGGCTTGAGGCAGCTCATCAATACCGCTTGGCTGTGCACAGGCTTTGGCTGGCTCTGCACGACGGTGGCTGCGGTGTTCATGGCACCTCGATTGTACTCAGTCGACGCCACGGACTTTGCGTCGTTCCAGCTGACGTTGTACCTGTACTGCTTGAGCGCTGCGATCGAATTCCTGACCGAACCTTTGTATATTCTCGCGCACAGCAGTCTCATCTTTCAACTCCGTGTGCAAGCGCAAGGCTGGGGCTTCTTCGCGAAGGCTGTCGTCCAGGTCGTTGCCGTGCTGTACTTCGACGTGGGTATGGTCGCGTTCGGGCTGTCCCAGGTCGCGTTCGCCGTCGTCCAAGGCGCGATCTACCTCGAGTTCTTTGTCCGCCAACTGTCGGTCCAGGAGTTTCCGCTGCACTCGGCTGGCGACATGTTGCCGCACGCTGCTGCCGGATTCCGGTCGACTCTTTTGCATTTCTGGAAGACGCTCACGCTCCAATCCGTTCTCAAGTACTTTCTTACCGAGGGAGATCGACTCGTCTTGTCTGCCTTTGAAACGCCCCAGCAGCAGGGGGAGTATGCGATTGCGTTCAACATCGGGTCGCTGGCTCCGCGGCTCGTGTTCCTTCCGATCGAAGATGCCGCCAAATCCATGTTCAGCAAGCTCCTTGGCAGTGGAGCGCGCGCCACGGCTGGCCAACCCGACGCTCTCCGTCTCTTTCAACTGGCGCTCAAGACCATGACGTTCTTGGGCCTTGTGTTCGTCTTCTTTGCCACCAACTACGCACGCACCCTGCTCTTCCTCCTCGCTGGCTACGCCAAGACCCTCGACGACAGCTCTCGCGTCCTCTCTGCGTATTGCGTGTGCGTATACTTTCTCGCAGTGAATGGCATCTGCGAAGCATTTGTGTACGCTGTCGGCGACGAAGCAGCCCTCCAGCGGCTCAACAAATTCCTCGTCCTCTTCTTCGGGATCACCAGCGCCAGCGCTGTCTTGCTCATTCACGTGTGCGAGCTCGGGTCGGTCGGGATAGTCCTCGCCAACTGCGTCAACATGGCATGCCGCATTGCGTACTGCCTACAGTTCATCCATGCATACTTTCAAAAGACCACGTCCAGTGGGGTCTCGCTGTTCCTCGCGTCGCTACCGCACCCAATTATCCTGGCTGCAATGGCGGTATCTTGGGTCATCACCTACACCAGTGAGCTCTATTTCCGGGGACCAAGCCTCATTCGCCACGCTTGCCACGTCCTCGTGGGCGGCATCGCTTTCATCGCGACGGCCGTGCTCGTGTGGAAATATGAAAGGCCGTTCTTAACCCAAGTTGCCACTCTGCGAAAGCAAAAAGCAGTGTAAATGCTGCCTACCGACATGGACACATTCCTTTCAGTGAGCCGAGCGACCGCGCCCCCACCTGAACCCTTCCGCTGACATTCCATATCAATCAAGCAGAGCCCGTCCTGTGTGCACATAATGCGGCCCTCCAAAATAGATTAACGTCCATGTTGCAAGTGGACTAGATGGTGGTGGGCTGCTGCGCAGTCACCACTTGCGTGAACAGCGCGACGATGGCATCGCAAACTTCCTTGGACTCAAACTCGAGATCCAACGTTCTGGACTCGGTCACGATCGAACAGCACCGCTCCGGTACGAGGTGCTGCCGGGGGCTCACCGATCGCTCAAACACGGGCGTTTTGAGCCCCTGGACGATCTGGTGGATGTCAGCGACCAGGATCCCTTTGGACGGGTGGTTGTGACAGGCAGCGTTTTCCCACTGGGCAGCATGCGGAGAGTTCATCGCACTTCGCCGCGGCGAGAACAGCTTGTGCACGATGGATGCCGTGCGGTCCAGGTCCTTGGGGCGCCACCACACCATGTGACACGTTGTACACAGTGAGATGCACGTTGCGTGGGGGATGCCTTGTCGGCCGTACTTTATCGCGGACACGCCAGCCCCGGACGTGAACTGTGTGTGCAAATCGTTGGACGCCGCGACAGCGCGATGGCGGTGGCCTTGCAGGATCCATGGGTGCTGCTTGAGCATGAGGGCAGTTGGGCGGAGGGCTGGATCGACTGCCAGCATCGATTTTATCTACGATCACGTGAGCTTCGTTGTGTCGTCCACACAACGTACGAGTTCTTTGGTCGAGTATGCGACGTGATTCCACTCCTTTGGCGGAAAGACCACTTCAAAATTATGTTTCCGAAGTTTCTGGAGCTTCATGGGGAACGGCGGGTACCCGCACAGCAGAATGTACAGCACAACGCCGAGGCTAAAGATGTCGACTTCGAAGCCGTAGCTGCGGCCGTTGAGGACTTCGGGGGCGGCGTACCCGGGCGTACCGCACGAGTCGGTGGCGCGCTCATGCACCGAGTTGAGCTGCTTGGCAAACCCAAAGTCGCATAGCTTGATTCCGCTAGACGACATGAGGATGTTCTCGGGCTTGATATCTCGGTGCAGGATGCAGTGCGAGTGGCAGTAGTACACGGCTTCGACGAGAGCGGCCATGACACCCTGCGCTTCGGCGTCCGCAAGTTTGCCCTTTTGCGTGACCCTATCGAAGAGGTCGCCGCCGTCGAGGCACTCGATGATCATGATGCACTTGGAATCGTCTTCCAAGACTTCGTGGAGCCGCATTACGTTCGGGTGATCCATCTGCACATGTTGTTAGCACTCATGATCGCGAACGGGGAAAGGGTGACGAACCCGGGACAAAATGAGCACTTCCTGGCTCAGCGCGACGCGATCCGTTTTGGACAGCACTTGCTTCTCGACAAGTTTTGCAGCGAACGTACCGCCTTGGGTCCGGTGGGTGACTTGCTTGACTTGCGAATATGATCCATTTCCCAAATGCTTGAGGATTTCGTACTGCTCTTCAAAGAGCACGGCGGCAGCTTTCTTCGGTGTAGGTACCAGGGCGCGAGGTTGGTCGAGCGCGATCGGCAACGACGAACCATGCGAAGTGGTCGGTTGCTACGAGCACAATCGATGCGTGCACTCAGCATTGTCCTAGATACGCACCCTAGTATTCGTTACGTACAGGTTTGATGGCAGTCGCGGACGGCCGGGAGGTGGCAGCTGCGGCCGCTTTGTCGGATTGCTGTTTCTTTTTGTTCGTGCCACGCCAATCGAAGAGCTGGCGAAATATGCCGAGCGGGTTGTTATGCGTGCTACTACGCTGCTCCGAAGACGGAGCGATCGCGATCCTGGACATCCTTCGCGCAGAAGGCAGAGTGGATGGCACACGTCCGGCACATGGCTCGGATCGCGAAACCTCCAGTCGGTCGCGACGTGATTCCTGCGGGTAGGGGTGGCCGGTTCCATACTTTATTTTTCCATACCGATAGGACACCCATCGGGCGCCCTATCCTGGACGATATATACATTTCGGGCTCGTTCACTGAGTAACCGTCACAACGGCCCGAGTGTCGGGCAACCTCCCTATAAATAGACTCCTGTTCGAAAGAAGTTGTAAACTGAATACTTTCAAAAAGGATTCTGTTTTATGCCCATTTCCTTCTTGCCACGACGAGCACTAATTCGATGGCCTAGCCTTGTGTATGAACGGCAGAGAGCCATCCATAGGGGTGAGCTACTCGCACGCTGTCCAGGCGGCGAGGTTGAGCACCATTGCGCGAACGACCACCTATGCTTCATGTAGAGGTGCTGTGTTGCTCGCTGGTGCGGATAGAATGTCGTCGCGTGGACGACGAGATCGAGGTGAACGATTGCTGATGGTAGGAGGATGCAGCACACTAGGTCCAGGCTTGTGCGCCATGCAAGCCAAGGACGCATCCAACGTGCCCTGCAAAATGAACCGAGACACCGTCGCATGAGATGGAAGTGTGCTGAAGTTGTTCGTGAACACACGTGATGTACGAATGCAAAACTACTTAGTTTCGCACGATGACGTGTCGCAGAATCGATCGGGCACTTCGACGGGGCCTCCCCGCGACCTAATGCCTCGGAACGAAACGGGGGACAACGCCGCCACCATGGTCCGATACGTCGCTTCCGAGATCTCTTCATACGGCATTTGGGCATACGCCCCGTGCGGCACCTTGGGCAAGAGGCTCACCCCCTTAAGTTGGTACTGAAAGTACGCCAATGCATGTTCGAGCTGCGATCCCTCGAGCACCGGATCGAATGCAATCGTGCAGCTCACTTGATTGTCAGCCCAATAGCGCTGCAGAAACGACGCCAGGCTGAGCTGTTCCCACGCCGACAGCTGCGCCAACGTCCGCACATTCTCCCCAACGTCCACTGGAATCGACACGACCAGTGTCTCGTTGGGGGCTTCAGCTGCCGGTTCCACCTGGTACCTGCGCCAAATACCAGTGAATTCACCACATCGCCGTGTCACGGCGGCGTACCCGGCGGCCACCAGCGCAGGGAGTAGCTCCGACGCGCGGTCCAGTCGCACTCGTCGAATGTAAAATCGGCTTTCGGGGTAATGCATGCCAGGGGTCGCTCCGGCCAGCAAACTCACCGTCCCGCTCGGCTTGATGCTGTACGAAACACGAATCAGCCTCAGCCATCCAAAGGATGCCATCGACGCATCGCACCTTGTTGTCTTGATCGAGCGGGGAATCGCCAAAAAGTCCGAGTACGTTTTGTCGTATGCTTGAATGGCGGCGTAACCTTGAGTGCACCAGTCCTTCAGTTCATGCAAGCCTCTACATCGTGGCAAATGGAAGGACATGGTCATCACAGCGGCTGTACCGCTGGGTGATGAATTGCGCGATGCCGCTCATGCTGCACCCAATCCGTCGATTTCGCAGCATGACACGGTTCGTGATGGGCCAATGTGTCTGGCCCAACGTTACTGTCTTCGCATACAAGTACGCGTAGCTACCGCCCATCCAAATACTTGTCAGCCACGAAAAACGTGCTTTCAACGGGGCATACCGCAACGTCTCCTTGTACTCGTCCAGCGTCGAGTGGTTGGCTGGAAACGTCTCGACCAAACAGCACAGTTCGTACGATTCGAGGGTTTGCTCCAAGCACGGGTTGCCCCCGGCCGCGCGTGCGTCGCGGTGGTCCGGGACACCGTCCATGCGGCTATACTCTTGCATGTTTTGGAGCCACGCAAACCCAGGCTCGCCATTTCTACGCAAAACCCCAACTCGTGATCGAACGCAACGAACAGACAAGGATAGAAGGTGCTGCTCACGTACTGCACGATCTGGTGGCAAATGGGGGCGTAGTCCATGCCAAGGGTGGCAAACACCGAATTGTTCGACGTCCACCCGTATGCGGCGCGTTCGGGATGTTGCGCGTAGTCCTTGAGGCAGACGTACGATGGATCGTTGGCGTCGCCAAACGCAATCTCGGCCGTTCGACGCACGTTCCCGCTCACCACACAGACCCCGATGTGGTTCATTAAGTCGACAATCCCACGGACCTATTCCAAAGGCAGAGGTCAAGCATGGTAGGAAGGGGCTCGATACCGTCATGGCACTCCCGAGCAACGGGTCCAGCGTCGCCATGATGTTTGCGTGCATGGCTTTCAACGAGTCCGGGCCCGAACTGATGCCGCCAAAGCCCTTTATGGCCATTCCAGCAGGGCGGATCTGCGAATAGTCAAAGGCGGGAAGGGGACGATGCAGAAAATACGCCTCTAGAAGCACCCGCAGGCTCTCGACCCACCTGCCACACACCGCGGAGATGACCAATTTGCACTCGTAGGATGAATTGAATGACTGTACCCCTCCCGGCTGTCGGCAATGTTGAAGATTTCGACAGTGCCGCCGTGTTTTGGCCCTTTGACCATGATTTTCCCAGCGCCCTTGGTGTCGAACCCGACACCGACACCCAGCATGGCTGCGTCCATGAGGAAGCAGAACGGCTCGGCGGGGCTGAACCGGCGGTCCACGTCCTCCGTCGACACGAACGCGCAGTTGTTTAGTGCTGCGTACAGCTTACGCTCTTCTGTGATGGGGGATCCCATGGCCCATAGGCCTCGACCAGGTGGAAGGAACTTCATGTTGAAGATACGACGGAACATTTCTCGCGCGCTTCGATGGGCCTCTTGGCCATTCCATCCCAGTCCTGTCAACAGTATGGAATGAGAAGTTGACTAGGTAGTGAGATGCCGGGATTTTTTTCCGACCTCGATGCTCCAGCCAATGTTTCTGCATGTTGTACGTGCCATTGACGACGCGCTCGACCGTTTCGTACCTTTATCAACGATGTAGCGACGAAGCCGAACACGACGCGACTCACCATTGTTCCTTGGTGCCATCAGCCTTATCACGGGAATACGTGCGCATGTACACGAGCTCCCCGAGGCCGTTGAAACCGAACGGCGGCGGCACATCCTTGAACGTATCAACGAACCTATGGATCGCTTGACGTCGCGACAAGCACGAGTCGGAGACAACCCTACTTTTTGGACAACCGAAACTTTTTTTCACGCTTGTGGGTCGAATCGCTGCGGAATAGCGGAATGAAATCGTTGGCAAACCCGTGTAAATTGTCCTCGGACGGGCCATCAACGTCTTCATCGTAATCGTCGTCCGAATCGGACTCCACCTCGATTGTGGTTGAAAATGGAGGAAGCGTCGTCGAGTGACTGTAGCGAATTTGGGTCGTTTTTTGTGCATATAGAGCTGGATTATGGAGTCCAAGGGCGCAGGGCCGATGCAGGGCCGCCGTCGCGGTCGCGACATAGCGCCGGCTTGCACCTCGCAGCAGACAAAGCATGAAAACAAGCCAATGGCCAATCATCATTCGCGAACACCGCATCCGGTTACTGAACGGATCATATTATCTCACAAAAGTATTATTTCTGTGATTAACGAAGCTCGCGGAAAGGGTGTATATCTATTAGACTAACAAAAGGTACTCATATCTTGGTGCACTAACCTGAGTTACTAGTCAGTGTGAATTTGTGATGTGGTGTGATATTGTTCCTTACGATTATCCGGTCAATGAGATTTCATCGCTAATTCGACCAAGTCATAAAAAATTTGATGTTTAGGAATGTTAACAGAGTAAATCGCATATTTTTAACGAGATGGCAATTGGCAATATCATAATAAATTAAGCTCGTCATACAAATAAATGCTCAAAACAGTACCACTCATAACCGATCTCTGGCGGTTTTCTGTCGGCAGATCCATCGATCGCTCGCGCAGGAGCGACATCGACACAGGAACAAGGGACGACGAGTGTACTTAAAGGCTGGACGTCGCCGGCTGCCATTTGTAGTCTCCTTGGTGGTAAACGAATCCATTATTGGCCGAGAGCTCGTCGCTCTCGACAGGGCCTCGCGATCCAAAAGTGTACGGCAGCGGCTTGATCTTCTTTGCTTCGATCTCTTGGAGAAGAGGGGTGAAGATGGCCCACGCAGCTTGGAGTTCGTCGTTCCGAACAAACATGGACTGATAGCCACGCAGCACATCCAGCATCAGACGAGTGTACGCGTCCGGCATGTGGGCGTCGGCATATCTACAAGCCAACCACACGTCATTAAAAAACTCCAAGAAGGGCCGACCGAGTTGTTTACCTTGCAGCATAATTCAAGTCCAATTCGCTTGAGATGGGAGCCGTGCGCAGACCAGGCGACTTCACGTTTGTCTTCAAGTACATGGCTTCGTTGGGCTGCAACCTCAGGACGAGCTCGTTGCGAGGGATGACCATGTTAGGAAACATTTGGGTGGCACCCGCCGCTTCACGAAACTGAATGCGGACTTCAGCCTTGCGTTCGTCCAATGCCTTCCCTGCCTTCATGATGAAAGGCACGCCATCCCACCTGTTCAGTGCCATGAATGAGATTGCCAATCTCTGAGCCAGCAGCAGCACCTTTCCAAAAACACCAGCAGCATTTTCCGAGTCGATTTTCCACGCAACAGTCGCAACCATCAAAGAAAAACAAGCTGCAGGATCGTAATACACACCAGCAACACCCAACAATCGCAGCAACTGCACATTGGCAATTTGAGGAATTTCTTTCGTCACACAGCAATTTTGATTCCACAAAATGCATCAAGCAAGCCGATTTTCGGCCACATGGGAGACAAGAAACACAGTCGTACCTGGCGTTGTTCACTCGCAGGACTGCCGTGCAGTAAGTCGGTGTGGTCGAGTCGGGTGGGACCGTCTTATCGTCGAGGTACCCTGGCTCGTTTGTTCCGTTGCCCACGTACTGGCCGAGAACAACGTCGTCCAGCACGACCGGTTCAATGCAGCGCAGCACTTTGACCTTTTCGTTTCGCACAAACGTCGCGTGGTCGTCGCCTGTGCACCGCACCGGGGGCTCCATCGCCACAAGCGACAGCACTTGAAGGAGATGGTTCTGCATCACGTCGCGGATGATACCGTACGAGTCAAAGTACCCACCGCGGCCCATCGTGCCAATGTCTTCCTTGAACGTGATCGTGACACTCGAAATGTGTCGTCGGTTCCACAACGGCTCGAGTGTGGCGTTTGAAAAACGAAGCAGCAGCAAGTTTTGTACCATTTCCTTCCCAAGGTAGTGGTCAATGCGGTAGACTGCGTCTTCGTCGTAGAGAGCGCCCATGGCTTCGTATTTCAAAGATGAGCATGAATGAAAGACATCAGGTACACATACCGTCACAGAGATCGTTGCATGATCCTAGATCGTGGCCAAATGGTTTTTCGACGATCAGGCGGTTCCAGCCGGACGTCGTCAACGCTGCGCGTTTGATGGCAGTGCCTGCAGCGACAAAGACGTTGGGAGGGATTGCAAAGTAAAACAATCGATTGTGGACGCCAAGCCCCGTGCTTTCTTCGAGGGTCAGCATTTCCGTGGAGACAGCACCAATATTCTCGGCGGAATCGTATCCGCCATGGCGGTATACGCACATGTTGAGGAATTGCATCTTTTTCCGTTCGTCCACGTCCACCAACGACTTCAAAAACGGCGACAGGAACGCTCGAAACTCCTCGTCCGTCTTGTGTGATCGGGCGTACCCACAGATGATCGTGTGGGTGGGCAAAAAGTTGTGCACGTACAGCTCAAACAGTGATGGATATGTCTGGGCATCATGTTAGGACCTGGGTCAGGAGCTGTCCAAGCGTACCTTCTTCTTTGCGAGATCTCCAGAGGCGCCAATGACAAAGATGCACAGACTCTGTTTCATGTACTCGGTGTGCGGATTCGCGTGCTCGATGTGGACGGTCGCCATACTGGACGTGGTGGAAGCACTTGGAGGATCCGCGACTGCGGAAAGTTCCACCAACACGGTGCGCCCAACGGCTTTTTCGAACGTCCCGCACGTGTTTGAAACAACTACCCAATCGTGTGCCGGGCGTTTTCAATGGCCGGAACTCGTTCGATACGTATTTAAAATCCTGAAATTGGATTTAAAACTCCATCATTCGTTTGAAACCGTTCGTAACACGCCCCACTCAGTTGGAAACGTTTCGTAACTTCGATGGTGGTTGGGACCGTCGCATACGCAATCCGATAGTCGCTTCAGTCGGTGGGCCACGGCCCATCAATCCGCTGATACTTGACATGCAGTCATGATTGAACATGCGCGGGGCATGTGCATGGCTGGCTGGGAGGCCATCATGCCTCCTCGTCAAGCAGGATGCGCCGGCTGTGACGTGTTGCACATACTGGCCCAAGCCATCAGGGGCAGCATGGACTTGGTTGTAGCCATGATGCTCCATGCAAGAACGCAGGGAGTTCCAGGTTGTTTGGTGCAATTATACGATCAAAACCGCCGCGAGACACTGAACGACGTCTTGGGTCCCGTTTGAAACCCAGTGCACTCGACGTCATAGACTGGCCCTGGCGTCTTGACGACTGTCGATGGTCGCATGCGCTTCTCCGATCCAAACGTCGAGTTCACGCAGGGCGATGCATACTTGGGCGGTGTGCCTGGGCCGGGCTCAGCAGTCGTGGGCCCAGGACCAATCAGGCTCGCGTGGAGACCTGGGCGCTTGGACGAGCCCATGGAAAAGGCGTTCGTGACCTTGTTGTCGAAGGCACACGGCATGTTATAAATCGGGCCAGGGGACGGAGTTGCATTGTCTCGGAGGGGGGTGCGCGCCGCGACGTTGAACGACAGCTCGGACGCCGTTCGGTTCATCGAAGACACTTGCTTACCGCATGACTTGGGGGCTTCATACGCACCCAGCCCTGACAACAGTTCAGCCACCAGGTAAAGCGTGCCACTGCATCGGCATCGATTACCACTGCCAGGCTTCTTTTGCCGGTCCCAATCGTCACGGGTGCTTGTGCCAAAGCTCTTCGCATCGCCCCCCAGTGTTCCCGGGAGTTTGTACAGCGCATCTGGTCACAGGTGTGCAACCAACCCCACAATCAAATTCAAACCAACCTGTGTTTGCATTGGAGTTTTGCCACTTGAAACGAGTCTCGGTCGTTGTAAAAGGCGTCGGTGTGTGGTGCATGCCCCGTTTGGATGGGGATGCAAACAGCGGCGCCGGCGCCGCGTTGTCCAGGCCGCTCATGATTCCAAAATACATCGCACCAAAGCGCCGACACACTATAATTGGATCACTACGTGATTGGCGTTTTCAATCCCTTGGAGCTCCGAACCACCTTTATCATACAACGCCATGGTACAAGTGAAAATCCTTTGTCGACGGGCTAGCCACGCTAAAGTTGACAAACGACTCCGTAGCTGCAATTGCCATCCTTCCAAACGCAAACGAGTGCCATCTTGCAACGATCACGAATGCACGAAGTGCGTGCTGGATCGCGGGGCCATGGATCAGTGCGATGACTATAGCCACCGCAGTCCCGCTCGTCCTCACTGCCACAAGTCGACCTCGTTTCGCCGACTGAACTAGATGCAGCCTGACGATCGCCGGTTTCACTTTCGTAACTGTCACGGCCATGACGGACACGCATCGTATGGCGTCGACGCGAAAGGCCTTTGCGACCATGCCCCCCGCCGTACGATACATTCCAGACCCTCTGTCTCTTCCACTCACGTCGTAACCTTAGCTGTACATGAAGTACCTCGAAGCGACCATCGACACCCTCCACTCCAAGTCGGAGCAGATCTTTCGAACGTTGCAAGAACGAGACCGCGACGTCGGGGAGGCGACTGAGCGGCTCGCGTACTACCAAGACGTCGAGGCCACGTGCCGCGCCAACACACTGGCGCTCGAGGAGGAAGCGGCATATCACAAGAAGAAGTGGAAAGAGGTAACAAGCCTTCGTCAACCCTCTGATTGAGTCCAGTTTGTCGTAGCTGGACTCGATGCGACGACAAGACATGACAGGCCGCGCAAACCTTACCCAACAAGTCCAAGCGCTCGAGAAACAGTTAGTCGCGAGCCAAGACGTGGTCCTGCAACTGCGCCAGCAACTGAACTCGTCGCAGCTGGAGCAGACGCAACTTCAGGCCCTGGCGACCCACCAACGTCAGCAGATCGCACTCCTGGAAGAGAAGGCGAACGATCATGACACAGCTATTCAAACGGTTGGCCGACGGCCCTTCGTCGCCAAGTTCATCGCGTCGTGAGCATTGTAGGCACTGCGCCACCATGAAGAAGCGCTCGATGCTCAAAAGGCGCTAACTCATGCCTCTGAGACAGAAGCCATGCGCTGGCAACGGCAATGGCAGGATGAAGTGGGCAAGGTCATATGCAAGTTCATTTGCACGGACGGCGCTAACTTGTCAAAAGCAGACTCGCGACTTGGACAACGAAATTGCACAACTAAAGGCGGGTCATGCTGCGTTCGAGGCCCGCCTTGTGAGTGCCCAGAGCGTGGTGTCGGAAAAAGTGCGTCGTCAGGTAGGGATCGTTTGCTAACAGGTGCCACCTGCTAGGACAGGGTAATCCAGACGTTAGTCGAGAAAACCAACGCACTCGGGCAACTTCTCCTCGATGTTCAAGCGAGTCAATCGCGGATGGTATGCCTCCTGGATCGAAGACACCCATTGACTCTACGGAACGCAGGCCGATGCAAATGCCGACCATGTCAAAGCCGTCGAACGGCACGCACAGCACGTTCAGGTACGCCTCACGCGTGGTTGACGGTCGGTTGAGTGTGGGGGAGACTCTTGAAGTACAGGTTGCCCAACTCAGTCGGGCGCGCAATCAATGTATCGAGTGGAAAGCACGACACTGCGATCTGTGGCACGTTGATCGGCTCTGGTCGCTGCAACGTATGACATGGCTGCAGTGGCAATTGCACATCCAGTCCAGTCGACGGCGGCGCCTGGAGGCCTCTCAGATGCAGTGGCGTGCCAAACTCGGCCATGTCGTTGCCCAAGTCCGCGAAATGAAGCTCGCTATGGCGCCGATGCAGGCAGTAGTAGCCGCGGCGACCTCTCAACCATGGATGCCCACGATCGCAGCTATCACGATGGCCATGGAGAAGGTACACTAGTTACCTCGGATGGTTTCCATCCCCTCATGGCATTCCAGGCAATGGAGGAGCGCAATCGAGCTCAAGAGGAGCGAAGCACGGCAGTAACTCGTGTGACCGAACTCTGTGGGGCGCTGGAGGCAGCCGAGACATCGAACGTGACGACAATGGCTCAACTGGCGCAGAGCCAGGAGCTAGAAGACATCCTTAGCCATCAGCTCCTCCACACGTCGACCCAACGGCTCGCGATGATTTGCTATTACGTACACATCATATCTGCATCTTGCGCCAAGAACTGACATTCGAGACCCTGTAGACGTGGAAAGAGGTTCACTTGCGACGCGTGGTGGGCACGTGGAGCAATACGGCATTGCTGGCAACCCGGGAGAAGCAGGTAATTCAACTTCTAGAGCAGCTCCAGGCACATTCTAAACGAGGAAGAACGGTAGAAGGACCGTGCTATGTCGACACCCGAAACGAGTTGGCACTTGATGCACACTGAATCGCACGTGGACTTTGATGCAGTGCGCATGCCATTCAAGCTGCTGCGGCGAAACAAAGTGCAGCAAGCGTAGCACCGTGCGAATAACGAACGTATTCAGTGCTTCTGTTCAGCCCGGAGTGACTAGAGCTTCACGGCCACAAACGACAGTCTTTATTTATACGTGCAGTGGGTTTAAGTGCGCGAGGGGGTGCACAGCAGTGCTGCAGAGTCCTTTTTGACAGCCATGATGGACGAACGATGCGGAGCGAGATAGATTGAACCGGGATAGACACACTAACAATTGTCGATGAAAATGACATCGAACGGGGTGTTAAGCCGTTTGCATCGACAGCACTTTGGCTTCGGCGACTTCGGCAGCTGGCGTTTCGATCGAGACAAACTCGACCTCCGTGGTAAAATCGACCTTGGCTTGACGTGGCTGGCGAGCCTTGATCCGTCGGCGAACGAAGACGACGGCAGCAAACGCAATCAGGACTACAAGCGCGAGAACGATGGCGGCAATGGACCCGCTCCCCAGCGCCTTGGAACCAGTCGACTGGGGTTTCCGGGTGTACTGGACGAGGTCCGCAGGGGCGGCACCCTTGATTTCAATCGATGTCGGGGTACGGTCCGGAACGACCATGACTGTGTAACTTGGAGAGGGGACCGTGTCGGGGAATGGGTAGTACGTGCCGGTTACGTTTGTCGCGGCGTCCACAAGCGCGTACACTTCGCCCGTGCCGCGGTCTTCGATCGAGAAGGAGTCGGTCGCTGTGGCATAGATGTTGCCCTTTTCAAGGAGGACCGCACCCGTGTCATGGCATCGCATCGAGCTCATGAACGCGCTGCCGGCGCCGCTGGTTTCGACAAAGCTCGAATCGCACGTCCCATCGTTGAGGTACACAACGTTGCCATCGCCAAACACTTTGGTGATCAAGTTGGTCGCTGTGATGGATGTGGACGCTGGATCGGTCGTCGTGGGGTTTGCCCCCACAAAAACGCTGCCCGATCCCTCTGCGACTGTGACGAGGCTCGTCGCGGCGGTGTTGCCAGCCAAAAGCAAGATGTCACCACTTCCTTGAGATGACAGGTCAATCACGTCAGCGGCCAGGACGTTGTTCACGTTGATTTGAATGTCGCCAGTGGAGACGGTCTCCACCATGAAGGAACTCGACCCAATGTTGTCGCTCTCGACAAAGATCGTGCTGGAGCCGGAGGATTTGATCCCGATGTCGCGGCTCGAATCCACGATGAGCGTGTTGGGCCCGACAACCGTGCTGCCACCATCTCCAGCATGTACGTACTGCAGCGAGTTGGACGGCATGTATATCTCTAACAGGTAGTCGCCAGCAACGTCCTGTCGACTAGAGAACTGGAGCTCCAACGTGTCGCCATTCGGCCCCTCGTTCTGGTTGACCGTGAGCGCGCGGACCAGGTCGGGGTTGCTCGCTCGGAACACGATCGAAGGACTCGCGTGGATAGGATCTTCGTGAATGATGCCCCCCGTGTTGATCAAGGTGAGACTTCGTACTCTAGTGGACGTCGCGTTGAAAATGGCAGGGGCAGGCCACTTGTTCATGGTACCAGGGGGAATGCGTGGGGAATTGAACAATGCCATCGTGGCCACATGCAGGAAGCGTTCGTGGCAAAGATAGCTGGGTGGGGAGGTGGTTACATGCACATCAACCCAAGATAGAGTGCCTTTCTTGGGGTAACGACGCGAAACCGACATGGGAAAATAGCTTGGTGAAGAACGGGGTGACCGTGTACGGCGATCCGTGCTGTGCACGCCAATGTTTGGCGATCTTTGCCAGCTCCATGCAGATGTCGTGGAGGTTCCTTGGCTGCGTTGGGCTAGCGCTCGTGACGCCGCAATGAAGCGTACCATCGCTCGTTTCCCATGCACCCTGCCACCCCAGATGATCGGCACACCAGTACCCGCCAGAGTAGTTCAAACGATCCGACGAGCCGCTGCAAATCTGTCCATGTCCAGGGGCCAATGTCCACCAACAAGCCGGAGAAACGTCGAATAGCTACGTGTGCATCGCTCCAAAGAGTGCAGACGGTAGAAATGAGCTTGTATCGAGTTACGCTACATCGCGAGGGTGGTGGACTCCTTGGGAGTCGACACCTTGGCAAACGAAAGGTCGTTTTTCGTTGGAGACCGTCGCGACTTTTTGAACTTGTACACTGCCAAAGCGATCACGGCGGCTACTGACATCGCGACTGCCAGCAGAAAGACAGCGGCTTGCGCTGTGGCTGTCGACGAGGTCGTTGGACCGCGATCGTCCTGACCTGTGGGGGCCTCAGGCAGGTAATCCAGCGGATGATGGTCGGGCATGATAAAGCTCGAGAAGAACGGCGCGGGCACCACGTCGGGTAGCGGGGCATACAGTCCTTTCACTGTGACGTTCTCATTGAGCTCGGCAAACACTGTCCCAGCGCCGTCGTCGGTCGTGCTAAGCGTGCAATACGCCTTCAAGTAAATATCGCCCTTGTCGAACACGCCCGCTGTGGTGGTGTGGCAGTCCATCGAGTTGGCAAAGATGTTGCCGCGGCCATTACTTCGGAACTGGCCAAGGTGGCATTGCCCAACGTTGGAAAACACAATGTCGCCATCGCCGTACGTGCGACCGTTGAGCGCGATCGTCGACAGCATGTGGCTCCCGTCGCGTCCAACGTATATGCTCCCTGTCCCGGCGGTCATCGCAGTCACTGTGTTGGTTGTAGTATTGCCCGCCAGCAACGCGATCGAACCAGCGTCGACAGACACGAGGGTGACTTCGCCAGCAACGAGGTATTCGTCAATCGAGAACTGGATCAAGCCAGACCCACGCGTTTCCAGGCGGAAATGGTGCGCCTCGATCGCTGGGGTCTCTACGATGATTGTGCCCGACCCAGACGACACTACCGAGACGTCGTTTACGGCGCTAACTCCAAGGACGTTGGGATAGACAACTGTGTCGAAGGCAGTGCTTGCATACAGGTGCTGGAGTGACTGCGGTGGCATGTACACGTCGATAAAGTACTCGCCTTGAATGCGCTCGGACGGCGGCGACGCCACATCCACAGTCAAGACCACATCGCCGTCGTCGTTGATCGTTTCGTTGACCGTGAGGGATTTCAAGAGGTTGCTATTCGAGGCCCGAAAGACCACGGAGGGCAATGCGTTCGCGGCGGCGCTCTCAAACACGTACGCGTTCGTGTTGTGCAGCACGACGGTGTGGAGGTCGACCGACGAAGCGTTGTACACACGTTGAAGCCACGACGACATGACGTCGATGGCGATGGAAAATCAATTATGAGAGCTCCGACAGGCTGGCTGACTGCATGTACAAGCAGAGGATCTTCGGAAAAAGATATCGAAGCAAACACCGCGGGTTGTACGGGATTCCAAGCACGTCAGTGGCTAAATGTTCCTCATGGCCTGTCAAGGTTTGCCACAGCATGACGAAAGCAGTTGGATGGCGGTTCCTTCTGCATTCAAGGAGTACCATAGCAAAGTCATCTCGGCGTCCAGGCAATTGTGTTATGCTGGCCGTCGCGAGAGGTTCCGTCTGTCGCGATGAAGCGCGAGAGCGCTCGAAGTTTGTGAGGACGCTTGGTTTGCTATAAATAGCAACACCCCCTCGCGCGAGTCGCTCGGCAGTCGTTGCGTTGGCGACGTGGGGGAGGTGGTCGTGCCCGCCGCAAGATGTTATTAACCCACGACGCCCCAAGAATGAAATCCTTTTGATCGATAAAGAGATCGCCGAACTGCCGATTGCCACGCGGACGTTGACAGGGTAAGTTGAGAATGTATCGAAGAGGCGCGGTGTAGCAGGTCGTTTTTGGAAAAGAGGAGTACGCTGCGCAGGCAACTTCATTCAGCACATGAACCCGCATGCAGTAGCATCGCGATCGGAGAGTTCAAGTGGGGGGTTGAAAAGCGAAGGAGTACTCGTTCCAATTACAGTGAATCGCACACCCAGCCCCTCTGGCGATCGATCCTTCCAATCAACGAAACTCCTCGCATGGCGGAAAACTGCTCACTGTCAACTTCATCCCTCCACTAGTTGCGGTTGTCTCGAGTGTGGGGCACGTGCTGTGTGGAAAAAGCGCACCGATGGCATGCGCAGCATGTGCATGCGGGTAACAAACGGTCCGCTGCCTGCTTGCCGAACCCAGGAGGGAATCACCAAAGTGGCACGTTGGTGCGCTGGTACCGACGCAGCACAGCACAACTCCCCTGTATGTCCACATCCATGCAGGTACTCCAGAGTCCATTGAAATGTGCGAGGATGGACGCGCAACCCCTCGTGGCCGCGATCGACATCCTCGCAATCTAGCCGCGAATCGAGACATGACATTCGAACGTCAATTAAAAATGCAGTACAACTTGGTTCGTTGCCACGGGAGTCGAGGCTTCCGTGAATGCCTTGAGCTGCATTTGGACACCGCGCTTGGCACGGACCTTGCGCACGATGCATGCAATCAAGATCACGGCTGACAGCCCAAGAACTAGACCAAACCACAGTGACGCGTCTGCGCCAGTGGATTTTGCAGGCAACGTTGTAGCTGGTCGTGCCGTCGTTGTCTTTGCCACCAAGCGGATGGTTCGCGGAGACCGAGCGGGCTCGACCATGGGCACGTACGGCGGGACAGGGACCGATGGAGGCATGACCATGACGGATCCAGTCACGGTTGCGCCCCCCGTGGCAAACACTGTCCCTAGCTCAGAGTCTTGCACACGCAGCAGCCCTGTCGTCGTCAGGTAGGTGTTGCCGGTGCCGAGGATCACGACGTTTGAGTTTTGGCATCGAACGAGGTGCATATACACGCTGCCATGACCACTCGTTTGGATGTCGCTGCCTTGGCACGTTCCGGCGTCCAGAAAGACGACATTTCCATCACCGTACGTCTTTGCCGTCAAGGATGTTGCGTTGAGCGACACCGGAGTGGTCTTGGTTGTCGTCTTTGTGGCGGGGGAGCCCATGTACACGCTTCCAGATCCCGCCGAGACGGCTGAAAGGTGCTTGGTGGTCGTCGAATTCGCCAGCAGGGCAATGGACCCAAGGGAAGTCGTCGACAAGTCGACGCTCTCGGCCGAAACGGACCGGGCAACGTTCAACTGGACTCGGCTTGACCCCCGCGACTCGACCACAAGCCGGCTTGCAAGTACGACCGATTCCTCCACGACAACGGAGCCCATGCCAAACGACGAGATCGAGATGGGACGCGACGCGTTCGCGCTGAGCACACGCGGGGCGACGATTGTGTCGCCGCCTTGGTCGGTTTGCAAGTACTGGAGGGAATTCGTGGGGACGAAGATATCGAGCAAGTACTGGCCTTCGACCGTCATATTTGGCGCAAACGCGAGCTCGACGACTGCGCCGAGATTGCCAGCCATAAGTTTCAACGTGAGCGCGTTCAGCAGGGCCATGTTGGACGTTCGAAAGACCACCGACGGCTTCGAGTTGGCCCGATCCTCGTAGATGTAGCCCCCCGTGTTGCGCAAGACGAGCCCGTGAACCGAGTCCACCGACGCGGTGACGTTCACAATCTTTTGGTGGTTCAACGTGCTCATGGCTCACAGAATGCGAAATGAAGAGGCGCCATGGACTCGCCATCGGCTCGTCCTCCACAAAAATTTCCTGACCAGTCCGAAGCACACACCCTGTTCGTTCTATATTCGAACGTGGACGACCGGCAGCTTCGTGGAATGAAGAAGAGATGCTTCAGAGGCAAGGACGAGAGGAGCCCGCATATTGGTTGCCATGTGGGGGGCATCAGCGGGGGATCGGTAATGGGGCTGCAGACCTGGTGGGACAGTTCGAAACGTGCGCAACGAGTCGGTTGGATTTGATGGGGCGCGCTACGTCATGTATGCAGAGGCCGTCGTTGATGGACTTCGTGGGAGGACATTGCAAGCGTGGCTGGCATCGGACTGACCTTACCGACCTTTCCTGACAGGCGGGTGGTCTCGTCGACCAAGGCGTACACGACCATGGCGCCGGCATCCTTGGATTCGATGCCGAATGAGGCCGCGTCAAACACATCTCCCGTCCGAGCAGTATCACGGTTGAGTCCTGGCTCCGCACCCCGTGCGCGAACACGCTCCCCATTTCTGTGGTCTGCATCATGGTGGTGTTGCATATGCCATGATCGACGTGCCCCGTGGCCCATGGCATTGGAGTGCACCGACAGAGTCGTGAACGCCGCGATGTTTTTGGATGCGGCCATGCCGACATTGATGCTTCCATCAGACCTGGCTGTGATGGCGAAGGATCGGGCCGCGAAGAGCGAGGCTTTATCGGACATCGCGGCGTTGACTACAACCAGTCGGATGAACCCGGCCCCCGTAGTGATTCCAACTCGACCTGTCGCGATGTGACGTCGGCAGCTTGAATTTATGTCCCTGGCCATGGAGATTTGATTGGATTCATTTGGTTTGATCCACAGAGAGACGCCATCTTGAAGCGGTAGTCGAAGGGACTGGAGACTATGTGTGAGAATGTCCAAGATGGAAGCTCCGTTCAATGCCCTGGAGGGATCGAATGCAATTGTTGAGCACATCGATTGTGGTGTGCCTGGAATGACGCTTCCATGCAATGTATCCAAACCAGTCGACGTGGACGGCCTTCAGCACGATAGACGGCTCGGAATCGATCGGGTCGACGTGATGGCGGCCACCCGTGCGGCGTAGCACAAGGCCATGGCGGTTGGTCAACAACACGATGCAGCTCTTTTTCCCCAACTACTTGCTGGCATCGTGCAGGTCCGTTGCGATCGCTGGAAACGTTTCAATGCGTCGTGATGATCGGGTGTTGTTCAAAGAAGGTCATCGTGACGCAGCCTTGTCGCCGACCTCCCTGCTGAAATCGAGTTTCAAAACACACAGCAACTACCAGTCCATTCCAAGTTACGTAGCAACTTCGACTCCAGGGCGGATCCGCCACGCCGCTGATGTTGAACGGGGGGGAGGATGCGCAGTTGGTCGCGGACCGGGTGTTTTCAGACCGAGCAGACTCCTTCTAGATCGAGCAGGTGTGGCTCCGGACGTCAACTTTGAATCCCCCCATCGAGAGCAAGAACTTTACAGCCAAGTCCATTCGCACTGGTGACAAACCGGAGCCACCAACGTGCATCATCCCACGTCAGCTGCCTCCAACTCTTGAGTCCACACGTCAAAGGTACAAACTAGCCCTGATGATTCTCGAGGTTGTGCCATCGTACGGCATGTGCATTCACCGTGGCTAGCTCCGGAATGCGATCAATGAAGCGGCATCCTGCCAAATTACATCGACTGCTCAGCATCGAGCCACGACCACCGAGTCGACGATCCTCCATGATGTTTGCCTTGCCAATGTCGATTCGTGAATATGTTCGTGTGATGGAGCTTTAGTGGATCTCGAGATAGTTGGCATGCCGCGTTTGTCGCCCAACGAAATACCCCACGAGACCAGTGCACGCAGCAATCAACACAGGCAATGGAGTCGAATGGGGAGAGAATGTCCAAACCCGCCCGACAGAATCGGGCGGCGGGCTCGTCGAGGGGTAGAACCCGACGAGTTGGAGCCACCACCGAGGCATCGACATGGACGTTGCGACCAAATACTCGTCCGTCAAGTTGGAAACAATGACACCGTCGTGGAAGCGAGTCATGAGCGTCGTAAAGAGCGCCGTCGAGTCGGCATGGCTGGTCTTCGCAAACGCTGCGGACGCATTCGTCAACAACGCCACGAGCAGCCTCGAGTTTCCACTTGCCGCGATCGCGTTTGCTTGGGCATGCACCACTTGTTGCCCTACGCGAGCATGCATCAGCAACAACACGTCGACCACCTCGGTGGATCTGCGTACGGGCAATTGCATTCGTCTCCGTGTGAATTTGGGCGGCGGCCACCACTGGGTGCGCAAATGCGTACCACTTGGACGCATAGTTTCCGACGAGGGCATTGATCCAATACGCCGACGACATGTCAAACTCGCGCAGCGACCCATGGCGTAGCGGCATGGGGACATGCTCCGACAGGACGTACACGGGCGTGTACATGGTGGAGTCTGGGGAATAAGGGCCGAACCTGCGTGTGAGTTAGGCACATTTCCCCTCCTCCAGTGTCCACATGCGATGGCAATCCCCACCAGATGTGATCATTGTGGCCATGCGTCGCGTCCAGCACCGACACAAACGTGTACGAAGCTTCGTAATTCCCGATGGCTCGTTCAAAATGGCCGTCGAGCACATCGTCGTCCGCGACCTCTACGGCTTGTGTGAGCAACTCGCAGCGTGAGCGGAAGGTGCACCGTATCGATTCGGGTCTCCGTACGGTCCTGCCGCCGGGCCTTTCGTCAAGTCGGCATTCGTTCCTTCATAGTGATCTCTCTGGACGCGCATGATGTCCTGCGCGGTCAGCACGTTGTCGACGGCAACCGAAAACGGAACGGAAGTGCCTGTGGGGTCCGAGAACGCGTTGAAGTCGACGTGGCGGTTTGCCAGACTCAGGACGCGGCCGACTCGAAGTGTCGACGACAGCGTAATGTCTGGGGGGCCAGCGTACGCGCTTGTAAAGTCAAACGCGGTCGTGCCATCCCAGAATCCGTGGTGCTTCGCAATGCCAAGCATGTTTGCCGACCACATAAAGTTGTCTGTATCGCTGAAGTCGACTCGGCGGATCACGAAGCGGTTGGCCACTGCAGTGATGTGGTCGTCTGGGATGCGCTGGGCCACCCAAATCGCCGACGCCCCCGTGTCGTCGGGCAATATGTGCACCATCCACGCTTCATTGGGGTCGGTCACCGTCAACGCTTCGCCCGAGTTTTCAAACGCTGCCGCTGTGTCCCAGAATGATCCGTAGTAGCCGAATGTTTCGGCAAGCTCTCCCATGAGCATGACGGCGGCGCGTGCAGTAGCCGACCGCTCCAGGGCCACGCGACCCAACTCGACAATGTCAAGGCGTGCGAGGCCTCCGCCAGACACAGGCTTCGACACGAACTTGGCTGCGCACGTACTTTCACCCAAGGCAACGTGGTGGTCGTTCATGATCGGGTACACGCCTTCAAGGTACCCGTATGTCGCAGGAACTTGAGGGATTTGGGCAATCGAAGGAGTGTCCGTCCAGTTGAAAAAGCGGCGGTCAACAGACGATGGATCGTAGGAAGGGCCGCGCGATGGTCCAACTACATTGTGTGTGATGGTTCACTCCGCGAGAGGCCAGAGGTACCGTGGCGAGGGTACTGCGACGCGAATAAGTACACGTTGCGCTCACTGCCGGCAGGGTGCGTCTGCGGCGGAATCTTTACCAAGCGGAAGTCGCAAAATGGGCAGTCATTGCTGTGCGTCGTCATCGGCGTGCCATGTGCGGACGCCTGCAAACGATTAGTCGGAAGAGCAATGGTGTTGTACCCACCTTGGCGCCGACGAGTATGGCAGTGCAGTGGCCTTTTGCGTTGGGCTCTTTTGCTGCGGTCCACCCGACGGCAATCGCGCCACCTACTGCCACAAACCACCACCGCATGGATCGAGATGTCGAAATGCCAAGGTCACGATCTTTCTCGACCACTTTGGTCGTCGAAACGGGCGAAAAAACATGCCATGATTGGTTCAATGTTTTCGTTGTTGTAACACAATTCGCGGTTTTTGGGATTTCATTGCGAAATAGAACAGTGATTTTGTCACACATTGCGTCGAACGGGAAGTTCTCTATATCGACATCTTCAGCGTCTGCATCCCGCCCTCTTTGACGACGCCAAGTGGAGTTCGTGAGCCCAGTGCCTGGCCTCAGTGGCTTGGCCAATATTCTGTGCACCGCCCCTTTCGACAGTACGTCACTTTGTTGGATTTTATCACTGGGAACTGCCGACGAGACTTCTTCAGAGCTAGATATGGCTGTGCCGAAGGCAATGGTCCCGCGCGGCAGCCTATGAACGACCCACGCAAACACGCATGCGGACATGAACATTGCGTCGAACGAGAAGTGCTCAATATCGACATCTACTGCCTTGTCAGAGTAAATTCGTAAATGCCTTCGTCCGTCGTCGGGGCTATCCAAGAGAAGCCGGCGTTCGACGCACAGGTCAAGACGTAGTCGATCGATACGTTGCGCTTGGTGTAGGCCAAGTAGAAAATGTTGGCGTCGGAAGAGCGCGCGAGGAAGTGGCTGGCAGTGGCAAACAACGGGCCAACGTAGTCCTTTTCGTAGATGATGTCGGCACCGATGAGAACGTCGAACGTGCCTTGGGTCTCTGGGGTCAGATCTTCTCCCCAAAGAAGCTTCTTGCAGCATTCGTCAGTGTCCAGACCATTCAGTTTACAGTTTTCCTCCAGCAGCACCATCGACTCGTCGTCGCCGTCCTATCGAGTCGTCAATGCCTATGGAACGATGAGCTGATCAATTTACCGTGATCAAGACATGGGCACCTAAATGCCACGCCAAGATGCCGCAAAGACCGAGTCCACTCCCGAGCTAGACAAGGGGTCAATATGCAATTCACAAACGAGATCGAACGACGACGCTGAAAATTACCTCGAGCGTTCGCTTGCCTGCAAACAATTGGCGATTTTTGTACATAAAGTCCGACAAGAAATCGCCAGCACGCCACAGCGTTAGCCCAGTGCTGTTGAGCGTCTGGCCAATGTCTCGACGGAGCCCATTCAGATGGATGGCGATGTCGGCGCCAAACTTGTACGAGAATTTGTCCTCGTTTGGTCCCTTCTCCTCCTCGAGTGCGGATTGGACTTCCTTGCGGATATCAAACGAATCGTCGTCATCATCGACTGTGATGCCTCGCTCCAGAGCGAACTCTCTCAGCGCCGCCAGTGCATCGGCCGACAAGCCGATGCCGTCGAGGTCCTGTTCCATCATGGTGGCTGCAAGCAATTGCTAATGCAAGCCCATGATTGGCTCGCAAATTCCGTCAAATGAACGACATTTAAAAAGCCCGGGATTCACGTTAACAATATTCAAATTCGTACTTCGAGTAATAGAATTGAAACAGTCGTTCTCATGGAAAAGGAAACTAATCCGTCGGATTTTTATATTCTCCTGTGCAAATGTATTTTAAATGAATTTCGTATCGGATAACAGCAGTTTTATCCGGAACTAAGTTTCGAGCCTTCGCATATCCTCTGGTGCGCAAGGATGGCGTCCAAAATGACCCCGACGACGAACTTGGATGAGAGTCTTCCCCGCAAACTGACAGCCGTCGGCGTCCTCGGTGAAGTGGGAGCGGCGTACACGGTGTACGAGAAGAACTGGTTCTGTGCTGAATGCAAGCACGAGAACTATGCTCGTCGACCGCGGTGTCTTCGGTGTCGTGCACCGAAAGTCCAAGCTCCCGATGCGCTCGTGTACAGCAAATCGAACGAAGACAGCAAGTGGCGCGAAGCATTGGATCCTTCGACGAACAAGATTTACTACTATCACATTGAGACACAGGAAACGCAGTGGGAACGCCCGAAGGAAATGGGCGCTGCGCCGCACTCGACGGGGTGGTTTGGTCGCGGGCAAGCGGGCCACGACAACTCGAACAAGTACGAAGATCTAAACACCAAGTACCTTGCACGACCGGCGCGGAAACAAGTCGACGCGATGCCGAACCGGAACACTCGCATGGAAGGCGCGAACGAGTACAACATTTGGTACGACAAGTACATTGGAGACCATTGGGACCACACAAAGGAGAAGGACCCAGCCGAGCACCGATGCTGCCTCGAAACCGACGCCGGCCACACGAAAGCCGACAAAATCGGGAAGGCGAACAAGTTCTTTTGTCTTCACTTTGCCCGCGGGGGATGTGCCCGTGGCGCCACTTGCAACTACTTTCACCGGCTCCCGACCATGGCCGATGAGTTACGTCTCGGCATGCTGCACGACTGCTTTGGCCGGGAGCGCCACGCGACAGACCGCGACGACATGAGCGGCACAGGTAGGATGAGAAGGCGCTGGTGGTGAATTCAATCACTGACCGGCGTGCATCACAGGCAACTTTATGCGAAACTCACGAACGCTGTACGTGGGTGGGCTCAAGGGCAAGAGCATGACTGAAGACGTGATCATGAGTGCATTTGCCGAATGGGGCGAAGTCGAGAACGTCAACATCGTGCACCGCCTCTCCGTCGCGTTTGTTCGGTACCGACATCGGACGTCGGCCGAGTTTGCCAAGGAAGCCATGGCAAACCAGGCGCTGGAAGGAGACGAAATTTTGAGCATCAAGTGGGCCATGGACGATCCGAACCCTGTCGCAAAGCAAGCGGCCCAGCGCGCCGACGCCGACGCTGTTGTTGCCATGCTCAAAAGCCGCAACATTTCGACCGCCCCGGCGCCATTCCAGTACCCCGAAGGCTACCACATCCAGCCGTCCAAGAAACAAAAAACTGCCAACGACCCGACCATGTACCCAAGCACTGACGACCAGTACGTCCACAAAGCACTCGAAGACGAAAAGCAGGCGGCGCTCTTGTCGTATGCAGTCGAGGACGAGTAAAGGACCAGATGTGGCTGAGTTAAGTCTCAACCAACGCCTACTTTTAGCAGTATTTCATGCAAACCTCAATGGACAGCGGTGTGTCTACACGATGTCGACCACGCTGAGGTCCACATGCGTGTCCATCGGTGGTGGACGAGGGAGTACTCCTTCAGGGACGCTTCGCAGCCATCGCCGCGCGAATGGGGGAATGCTGGAGCATCCAAACATTCAACGCCTTTCAAACTATGGCCAGCATACAAGCGACTGTGTCAGGAAGGTGCCCTTCGGCGTTGGGTATGCATGCCCATCTTTACGTCCAGAAGTTCCGAGTTTGACTTGCTTCAACACTCCATTCCGTGGAGTGTGGAGCCACTGCCGGTGGTCCGGAATCACGCATGGCAGAAGCAAATGAAAAGGATTTGTTCTCGTTGTTCGAGTGCGTCGACATCCCCGACGACAATATCCCCTTGACGGGTTGGGACGGGGGACAGCGCCACTTCCAATCGTGCATGCAAAAGCGGCCAACGTGACGACTTTGTCGGGACGCTGCCTACACGGAATTGATAGTTGCTACATGATGAGGTGGCCGACGATGGAGGGGGTTGACGAAGGCAAGAAAAGGCAGACCACAACAAACTCAAACATGTAGGCCGCATCATGCTCTGGCGGCTGCACCACCGCCGCTTGCTTAACACGCAAACGTCCCCGTTATCGCATGACCGTGCCAATTTTCGTCGCCATCGAGAAGTAGGGGTAGAAGTACGCTTTCGCAGGGTTCTTGAACCGGCCGTACAAGTCTCCAGCCAGCGTAAAACTTTTCAGGCGCATCGCGCGGTCCTCGGTTCATCGCATGACGGGTTCTCATCGACTTTGGGTGAGCGCAGGGAGTCGAACTCTCAAGTTGGGCATCGCCGACGGAGGTGCGACATGACTTCAAGGGGATAGATGTCTTAGGGCCGCGTGGTGGGGAGCCCAGCGTCGTTGAGCGCTTGGATCGTTTTGTTACGATCGACAACGAACGTGGGAACGGCAGTGTCGTCGGTGATCGAGGTCGGTGGGTTCCTGCGCAAGCTCAATTTATCGTACTGCGACATGCACGCGGTCGTGAGGGGCATCTTCGATGTCGCATTCGATCTCAACGCGCGGCAGAAATTCGTCATAAAGCCATACTTGAAACGTCACAACGTACACAATCCTCAACCATGATGGCACGATGAAGCAGTCACGAATGGCCGCAATCGCATTCTTTCCCAGACGCCCGCCATGATGGACGTTGCCTACAATTGGCACAACTGTCGCCATATTTCTTCCCTTGGGGCACCAACGGAAAGTGGCCGCGTCACTCGGGCCATGCTGTGTTACCACATGGATGTCCAGTTGGTGGATGCATATGCTGAACAAGCACAAAATCGAGTCGGTCAGCTGGCGGCATGTCCTGAGCGGAGTTCTTGGACAGGTTGCTCGGTACGTCGGATGAGCGCGTCGAGACCACGCGTTCCATGGACTCCTGGCCGCACGAACGCAATCGTCGAGGTATGGTTACCACACTGGTCGCTGAGCTGGCAAACGTCGTGGAGTTGAGTCAGAGGCGCGCGCCACGTTTCAAAGGTGGCGTCGTTGACCAAACGGTTGCCGGTGAGAGGTCACATGGTTGCTTGTCAGTCGGTGGGTGGACAAGTCCGTCCAGCGAGCCGTCAGTGTACCATGCAAGCGCACCACGTACGCTCGGTTTCCACTCGTGGGCCACTGAATGCGCGAGCCGATCGGGCCTGGCACATGATGGAGGGGACCCAATATTCATCTCACAGCTGCACTGCAGAGCCCCGTGGTTTTCAAGTCGACGAGTGCGACTGCCTTCGTTACGTTGTGGGCTTCCAGTGAGCTGAACGTGCCCTCACGTCACGATTCCCACGGGCACTTGGATACGAGCAGTGCCCACCAGCACAAGTGCATGCAGCAGTCGATTGCGTCCGTTTTTCTGTTCCTCCTGTACAGCGTTGATCCGTTTGAGAAGTACAATACGAATCGTCTGTGCGTCGCACAAGTACACGAAGTCACACAGAATTCCTGACCCACCACCTGTGCCCATCCATATCGTATACTACAAGCCTGGCCGCCGCTGTTGTATGGTACGCAGCGGTCGCGACGATTCCGGTGCGGCCAACATCTCGGTTGTGTGATATCGACCACACGTGTACTATGAAGACGGAGAATGGCAATGGTTTTGTACTTCAGAGACGGATGCATGGATGGGTTTGCCTTTCGAGACGGACGTTCCTCGTGGTGGGCGTCCACGGCAAGCCCTCGTTGTGACGACTCTTGCGCAGATAGACATGTTTGGTAGAGCCCGGATACGGTGCATCCACTTGCTGCCAACGCAGGATTGCCCCCTCCTGCACAGTTTGCTACCCAAGGTCGGGTTTCTTGGTGGGGGGGTCCTACCACCATGTGAGAGTATAAAATGGATTGAATGACATCATGCGCCAAATATCGTATTTCTTTCTACCCGAATAATACATATAATTCGTAAGCTTTTGGGTGCATATTGAATATTCGTTTGAAACCCCTGACATGTGGCGGTAGGTAGGGGGGGGTGGCACTCAAATGACGCAACCGCCCTGGCACGAGCATACATATCCTGTGGCTTTCGACATTGCCGCCTACGTGCAAGGACAGACAACGTTGGCGATGAGTGAGTTGGCCGAGCAGTTGCAGGCGCTTGGCATTCGCGTTGAACCCACAGATGCCGTATTCCGCACAGGCAGCGACAATCACGACTACGCGCATGGGCTCCAGTCGTGCATCCCACAGGAAGTCCATTTCATGAACGCGGAGCTGCGCCACTGCCACATCATGGGCGTCGGTGTGTTGCCATGTTTATTCTCTGGGTCTGGCCACGTCTACGAGTTTGTGCGAACGCTGCGCAAGTGTATCTACGGCAAAGTGAAGCACGCCGTCCAGCTTCGTGTGCATCCCAATGGGAACGGCACGTTCGTCCGCACCAATGTCGAAGTTGCCATCAAGGTCATGAGTAAAGCCATCATCGAGCAGGGCAATTTGCAGGAAAACCCACTCGTCGAGCTCGCGACGCAGCAATACTTGTCCACTCCAGGCCATCCACACGTTCTCACTTTGGTGCATCCCCATTCCACATGCAGCCCGACGTGACCTGACTCGCTTTCTAGGTGGAATGCTTGCACGACCCCGAGTTTATCTACGCTGTGCTGCCGTTCTGTCGCGGTGGTGAACTCTTTTCCCTTGTCGAAACGGGCGGCGCCATGGACGAAGACGAGTGCCGGCATTGGTTTGGCCAGGTCCTTCGCGGCGTCGCGTACCTTCAGAGTCGGTACATTTGCCACCGCGACATGTCTCTCGAGAATGTCCTCCTCGACGGCAACACGTCCAAGGTACGCATGTCTGCCACCTCCATTTACATGTTTCAATTTCGTCTGTCGACGGCCTAGATAATCGACTTTGGGCTGTGCGTGGGTATCCCAGTTGACGCGAATGGCATGACGTACGCGCTGCCGCCGTCCGGGGCCGTGGGCAAGATCTTTTACATGCCGCCAGAGGTACGGCATGCCCTTTATCTTGTGTGTGTGTGTTGTCGGCATGCATGATTCATGCGATGGATAAGATATACCGAAACCAAGTCCCGTTCAACGGGTTCGCCGCCGACATTTGGTCGATGGGCGTGATGCTGTTCATTATGATCACCGGTGCCCCGCCGTTCGAGCGGCCAGACGACATGGACCCGCGCTTTCAGATGATTGCCACGGGCCGCATGAACGAAATGCTCGACTCGTGGGGAATGACTCAAGTCTCGCCGTCCGTGCGCGACCTGCTGAATGGACTGCTTGTTGTACAAGACCCCCGCCGACGCCTCACGTTAGATCAAATTATGCAGCACCCGTGGGTCGGCGGGTCCTCGTGATATGGCCCTTGGGCCCCACCACATGCCACAGCAACACCATAAAGTATTATACCAATCGACTCGGCCATGGATTGTGCTAGTCATCGTGCGTGAGCTCCGTATCCAAAAAACAATGGCTTGGCTAGCTCCATCGACGAGGGACCACCATCGAGCGACGACGTGCTCCAAGGGGGAGTGACGACATGTACAGCTTGTCCGTGACAAAGGAAAAACAAACGATGCGCGCAACGACATTCATCCATGGCATGTAGAGACTAGATCTCTACTCGTCGCACTCGAGCTCGACGTCGTTGCGGTTGTTGGAGGGAGGGGAAGCTGTGGGGGACACTGGGGGCTTGGGCACGACGGACGGCGAGTTGTTACGATTCCGTGCTTCGCCGACGTCGACTTCCCAACAGCTCACATACCGATCCTGGCCAGGGTTAAACGACCATTCCCAGTGGAACGTGTACGCGCCGTCGGCTAAATCATGCTCCAGGTCAAAGCACACCGTGCACAGCGCCTTGTCCTTGTTTTCACAAAACTTGGGACAGTTTTGGAACCCCTTGTAGTCGATGACGCCGTTCACATGCGCGCCGTTCAGGTGAGTGTACTCGTGCGGCCACTCGAAGAGTGCGGGGTCGGACGTCTCATCCTTCTTGGACCGGTAGATGCGCATGCCCGAGTCCGGAATGTACTCGTTCGTGCACGGCGCAGCGACGTGGTTCTTGGCGGGGTAGGCGAGGCACACGCGCTGTCCTGGCGTGTATTTGGCCTTGGGCGTCGACGCCGTATACGCATTGGCCGCGTTGCGATTGCACTGGCACGACGTTGTTGTTTGCTGGTACGTCAGCGACCCTTCGTTCCCAAACACGTCACCGCCTACAACTGACGTGACGCACAGCGCCGGGGAATGTAACGAGCCGTACGAGCTGCGGCGCACCGAGGAAACCCAGTGCACTTGGTTGGGTTGTAGTAGTGCTTGTCTGCGTCGGATTCGATCAAGTAGTTGGAGCACTCTACGACGTCGGGGCATGAGCTTTGTCGGGAAGATGGGAGACCGTCGTACCGATCCACGAGTGGCCGCGCACGACCACCGCAACCATGACGCTCGTCAACACCCGAAGAAACCACATTTGCACGAAGTCTCGGTTCCAGGAATGAGGAAGCAGCACCGTCCGCACTTGCAGAAACGCGCCATCATGGCATCTGCTTGTCATGGATCTGCACGCATCATGGCTAAATTTAACTGGGGACACTTGCCGCGATCTGCGCCGTGCACCGACTGGCACTTGGTTTGTGCTGGGGAGAACGTCCGTTTTCGGGATGGCTATTTATACAAGTGTCGGGAGCAGCCTCGAGGGAGTGGGGTGACCTCGCTCGCGCCACACGACTCCCCGTGCTCGCAATGCCCCGATCGCCGCGTCGCGGTGGGCATGGACGCCGACAATTTGAATGGGGACATGCCCCGCGTGGGACACTCTTCGATGGAGACAGCGCATTGCTCCCGCTGCCACCGCACCGTTGGTGCGTGTTGACCACACGCTCTCGAAATCGACACCGAAGGACATACCACTCGATCTTGCATATTTGTGGGATGAGAAAAGGGATGGAATCGTGGCACCAACAGCCCAGTTCGTCGGCGCGGCCGACGTCCACTTCGTCAAAGCACCCGAATCGCGCTCGGATTGAATTGTGTGCCGTGGACGGGTCGCCGACGGCGACGGCGGACACGCCATGAGAATCTTGCGGTCAGGATGAGTCTCGACTCGAAGAGCGTGTTGGAACCATTGTACGACGGCTCGCCAGAGGTTCAGTGGGCCGCAATGGTCATGTCGCCGCAGCAAGCGCCGCATGCGCGACATCAAGCTGCATGCATCGTTGTTAGGAAATTAGACACACTATCCACAAATCCACTTCGGGGCTGGTGCGGACTGTTCATTGCAAATCTTCACCGAAGCGGGATCGGCGACATGGTGAGTTTATAGGAATTGAGCCATCCAGCGGAAGCCATCTGCATACCCCATTCGCCGCACCACGGAGCACATGTACAATTCAATGGGACGAATGTTGGCTTCTCGGTCGCCGCGAGCTTCCTTGCCGTACGTTTCATACAAGCCCAACGCAGCTCGGAGTTCGTCTTCCGAAGCCGCGCGGGGGATATCAATCTTGTTACCCAACACGAGGAACGGCACGTTGGCGAGTTCGTCACATCCGAGTAATGTGTCCAATTCACGCTTGGATTCGGGGAAGCGGTCACGGTCCAACGCATCGACCAAGAAGACGACGCCGTCGACAGTGGCAAAGTAATCGCGCCACAGCTTGCGTGCGGTTTCGTGACCGCCCAAGTCGAATGTGCGAAGGCGAAGCTTGCCAATGATCAATTCTTCAGAATCTATGCAGGCGGACGTCAGACAACTGCGTGCGCCACCTGTAAAGATGTGACACGTACTAGGGTGCAAAGTTGGTTCGTGCACAGCGACACGGTCGTCTTTGAGCATGTGCAACAAGGTGGTTTTCCCGGCGTTGTCCAAGCCCAAAAACAGAATCTTGGCGTTCTTGTGGTGGAGGCCTATTCAGACATGGCAAAACCGCGTCATTGAGTGACATGCGCATTAAACGCAATCAAGTGCATTCAGCCACGCCAGCATCATGGGGCGGTACATACCAAGGAAGCCCAGGATGCCGTAGAACCAGTCCAGGAAGAACATCTTCGTCGTGGGTGTTCACTGCCAAACAGAAAATGAAGGAGGCCGCCAGGGGACAGTATACAAATTCCAAATCTAATTCAGCTTTGGTAGTGAAACTGCGCTTTTTTATTTGACAATTCGCCACGTCATGCTCAAGTCATCAAGTTTCGACGGATATAGTATTCTACAGGTCATTCATCAAAAGAATTCGGAACATCAATATTATTATACAAGGGTATCGAGTGTGGTAGATAAATGACGTCACACTTTTAATTCAGGAATTGTCCAATCAACGGTGGGAAATACCAACTACTGTGGACGAAACAAACTTCGCAACAACTTTAAGAAAATTCGCACAATATTTTGGGAATTTCAGCTCGAAATTGTTTTTCTGCGATAGTACAGGTGTAACGAACTGGGTGGTGTGAACAGTTAGATTTTGGTATCAAATTCTTGCGCTGTTGCATCCATTGTACTCAAGTAGACGCATTCTCGATTGCTTGGACTGTACACTGTCCAGGCACTCTTAAACTCTACTAGAATACGTTTTCCTGCGCATAGTTCTCGACGACAAAAATCCATTCATACACGGATGTTCGAATTTCGGAAGGGCTTTTCTTCGAGAAAAAATCGAACCAATGGATATTGTCTTTATCGATATTCCATATCTATTTTGTTTCGTTTTTGTCACGAATTGATTAACATCCGACCTGTGATTGGATAAAATGCGAAGAATATGAAATGTTTGCTCTGATTGGATGAAGTAGGCAAAATCTCGGCGTCAAGAAAAAGCACTGCCGCTGACAAGGATGAGGCGCGGCAAGATGGGAATTGGGGCCGTAAAGTGGAAGCAGGAGCAGAAAAAGGCTTACGAGGAGGCGGGAGCTCAGCTGACGCAAAGCCATCTCGCTCATGTGCAGGAACAGCTCGAGGTGTTCAAGACGAATCTGCAAACGTTTGCTGTCAAGTACAAATCCCAGATCAAGAAAGACCCCGAGTTTCGGAAGCGGTTCCAGGTCATGTGCGCCAAGATCGGGGTCGACCCTCTCGCGTCGAAGAAAGGCTTTTGGTCTGAGCTGCTCGACATGGGTGACTTTTACTACGAGTTGGCTGTGCAGATCATTGAAGTATGCATCTTGACTCGCAACAAGAACGGCGGGTTGATTGCGATCCAGGATTTGCTTGGATTGTTGGACCAGCGACGGGGGCCATTAATGCAAAAGATTTCCGACGACGACATCAAGCGATCGGTGAAGAAACTTAAAGTTCTCGGTGAAGGATTCAACGTCATCGAACTTGGGTCCAAAACGATGGTACGGGTGACTGTCATGGCATTTACCCATCACTTTTCCCTTGCAGATTGTCACGGTGCCAGTGGAACTCAACCAAGACCACTCGTCCATCCTCCTTCTCGCCCAGGAGACGAAAGGAGTTATTACTGTCGCTACCTTGGCCGAGAAGCTTGGGTGGGACGCAAATCGTAGTATGTTGGCATTGAATATCCTGCTGCGCGAAGGCATGGTGTGGTTGGATGGAGAACAGGTATTACACAGCTAAAGCATTTTCCCACAGCACAGCCTCATTGCTCAATACACGTAGAATTGCCCAGGGACCGCCTACTACTTTCCCAGTATTGCCTTGGCTGCTGCCAGCTAGGCAACAAACAGCAGCTCCAATAGAGAACTCCCAGCCAATTCCAGTTTGTGTAATATCGTATTTCCCCGTAAAGATCACGTTAAGGTGAACGAACAATGTTGTTTGGCTCGTCACTCGAGGTGGTGTTGTCCCACCGACGGGATGGTGTGGTGTGGGGTGCGGACCATCGTGGCGTAAAACAATACACAGCTTGCCAACGCGAGCGCGGTGGCTCCATATGCAGGACCGGCTGACGAGATCACGTACAAATACCCAGATAACACTACGCAGTCATGTGTGAACTCACATGGTCGACTTTTAAAGAGGGTCGATGACTTACAAGGCCCCGCGGTGCGAGCGAGCGCCTACAGCGTAATCCTGGTTAGAATCCACGTTTCGTGTTGAGGATCCCTTCACCGTGAGAGAATCGGACACGCCCATGATACCCCCGAGGGACTCTGGGGCAACCGCCGACGTTTGGAGCGATACTGAACATGCGCGCAAGACACTAGCCCATATAAACATCCGTGGTGAGTTGAGCCATCGCCGTGGAGGTCGTGGATGCCGACTTATCACCTGATTGCAATGACTTGCGGCGCTTGAAGAGCGAGGACCATGGGCAGCGACGTAGCCATGGCAATACCGAGAAATGACAACACGTACACAATACTGGCACCTTGAACGAGCAAAGTCTCCGACTGGACTCTGCCACATGGTGCCATGATCATTCGTATCGATAATGCACATCAAGACAAACGTACAAGTTGACGAGCCGACCGACGACGAGACCGCTGGACGCAGCCAGGCCACCCATGTAGCTCAAAATGTACCCGCGAGTGGTCGAGGACGCGCCGTATTTTTCTTCGAGCAACAGCATGAAATGACTCCTTCCAGAAGGTAAGTGACGTCAGACTTGCTTCAGAATGTCAAGCAGAAAGCGAGTATGCAAGAGCGCCGAACAAGCCGAGTCCACCAAGTGACACAACATGAAAATGCTCGTGTTGTGTACCGGAAAAGGATAGCTGACGCGGCCATGAGCAGCCGCACACTGAGGAGACTTCGAGCAATGGGAGATAGCTTCAGAATGTCTTTGTAGTCGCTGAGCTTGTCGACGACGGCCACAGCAATCGACGAAATGTTATGGGCGACTGGAGGCGCGTCGCGGTCTGCGTCGAGAAGCATGGGATCGATGTCCGTGGGATCATCGCATTGGATTTCCCGAGAGGCAACGACCATCGGCTTGGCTGGAGGGACGTACAGAAATACGAGTGCATAGTTGACAATAAACACTGCCGCCGTGAGGAGCGCCGTGTAGTTAAACCCATTGGAATATGCACCGAGGATACCGCCCACGAGCGGGCCAAAGATGAAACCAAAGCTTGAGTACGCGTTAATCTTGCCCAACGCATCTGCCCTGGACATGGACGCGTCACGTGTGTTGGTGCAGAGCGAAGACGAGGCGCACCTGGTCTTCGTGGATGTTTGGTCTGCCACTGCCAGCCGTACAGTGCTTAACGTGTGCTTGAAGACACCACAAGGTACACGGGAAAACACAACCATCGACAGAGTCATGGAGAACCCAAGGATGACGTAACCGACAGCCGAGCCAGCGATCCCGATCAACAACACCAAGCGCCGGTCGAAGATGTCGCTCAGAACGCCCGCGAGCGGTGCACTGACCATTTGGATCGCGCCGTAGAGCGAGGAGATGTACCCAATCGAGACAGCATCTACAGACGTGATGAATCGATGTCTCTAGTGAAACGGGTGTACCTCCACCAAGTGACTTGACATAGGACGGCAGCGATGGCACAATCAACGACACGGAGAAAAGATCGAGGAACGAGATCAGGTACAGGACCTTCACCGGCGCCAAGGCTGGAGCGGCAAGGCTCGAATTCGGAGGCATGACGGTCATTCGGGACTGCTTGACTGCGCGGCTCGGCATGCCTTGATCTGTGTCCGGATTGGGCAAAACATTCTCCAAATTTCTATTTGATTGGTCAATGGACTGCATCCATGTAGAGGTGCAATATAGACGGATTGGATAAATTTCAGGCAATGAGCCACCTATGGGCGCTTTTGATTGGATGAAATGGTCGTTTATCATCGTTGTTTTGGTCTGGCAGGAACACCATGACGACGCTGTGCGCGAAAGCAAAGGAGCTCGTCAAGGAACTTGGACGCAGCGAATGGCTACCCCCGTACAACGTATAGCTTATGGGCGCGGGTATGCACTCGGGAAATCAGAATTGCTGTAGGAGGAGAGCATGCGTCAATTGGCCGACGAAATCGGAGTGTTCCACCGACAAATTTCAGACAAGATCGAGTACGTTCTGTGCATACATGATGTCGATGGAAGGGAATACTCATCCAAAGTAATGTAGGATGTTCGAAGATGGGATTGAGAACCATCCATCACAGCACTGTGGACTTGTGGTTACCCATCAGTGCCTCTTGCGCAACAAACGTGCTGCGCTTGCTTACATGTACCTCTCGCGTTCGTCATGTGCAGCAACTCGTATCAACAGTGCGTGTACGTGTAGCAATCATCGCGTGAACAAGATCAAAGAGCTGCGGTGGCAAACTGGCAGTGTCGTGCCGGACAACCTGGCCCCCGCGTACGTCTGCAGCGTGGTCACGCATGGGTAGTAATTTGATTGATATAGGCTGTGTGCTCGCGAGATGCAGTTTTTCCACAACTACGACCAAGGGCTGAGCAACTACATGTCGGCTTTCAAGATAGATCTATCTGCTGTACGTCGTCCATGGCATTCCAAATCCTGCACGAGATTGAATCCCGTCGTCGCGCACAGGACTTGCAGCCTCCCAAGGACCTGTACATTCAAGTACGCGTGATCAAGGACTGCGGTGAAATCTACACGGAAAACGGACCAGTCCAGCTGCACACCAACACGACGCACTTTCTACGCCGCACCGACGTCGAGGGGCTCATTCGGCAAGGGATGTTAGTGCAGGTCAAGCACTGACACCCTGTAAAAACAACCGCAAGATCCAACCTCGCTCTAGAAACGATTTTTCTCCTCCCAAGGAATGCTTGGTGCGCAAACGCTGTCGGCGGCTTGAATTGTCTCGGACGAGGGTCGATCGAACTCGGTACTCCGCGGCGTTCCGTCGTGACGGTTGGATGGGCAGAAAGACCTCGACATCGGCGCGTACACACAGTGCTAGAAAATATCCACAGGCATCTCCTTCATATTGCGAGTGTGCAACCGAGGAAGCTGATGAATGTCTGCGAGTGCCGCCAAGTGACCGTCATGTCGAGCTGCGAAAAACAGACGAAGCCGTGCGACTCACATGGAGCATCCACATTGCGTTGATTAGACCTTGCTGACGTCGGTATGTTGGGCTGCAAGGTGCTTGCTGTATTCGTGGAGTAGTGGCTTTTGCAAGGCTATGTGCGGCCTTTTGGCTTTGATGAATGCGAGTGCTTCGTCGACAGGCCATCCGTTCGCTTGCATGAGGTACGCTGCCACAACGATTGTGCTCCGCCCTCGGCCTGCTTTGCAGTGGACGTACACTGTGTCTCCTTGGTCAATGTGCTGCTTGGTGAACTCGACGCATCTGCAGCACTTTGCGTCAGCAAAAGGCGGTCCAGGTATGTATAAGGGCATACTCGATGAGCGTTGCAAGTGTCGGTGGTGAAAAGTCCTGCGTGTGCCCGAAACATTGGGCAATCCCCGCGTCGTGCCAGTCATCTATCACCACACTTTCATCAAGGCGACTGTGCGAATGGCATGCAAGTTACCTGGAGAGACTGGAATTCCGAGGATCGACGGCTGGAGTTCGTACGGCTGGTTCATCGTCACAACAGCGGCCACACGTTCCTCCTCTTTAAGCTATACCATGCAGTATTAGCGCGACTATTGATACCAACACGCGTGAGCGACCTGTGCGAGATGCCCTCGATCGCGGAGCGGCAGAGCACCGAGAATGAGATTGTCCGTGATGCGCGTCCACCACGTCCGCGACGTGGCTTTGTTCATGATCAGGTTGTACGCCAACGACACATGATAGACCTACGAAGGCTCGTTGGTACAACAACAACATCCATGGCCCTGCACAAACCGCCACATGCGCCATCGTCGCGTTTTCCTTCTTCTCGGTCGACATCGCTTGAATTATCTCAGGATAAAAGAATTGGTTTGATTTTCAGAATGGAGAGTAACGCCTTGGAGAATTTAAAAAGACAGTTAAGCATTGCGCGGGATAAAATGTGTGTATCAACTGCTTTTAATTAAGACAATCTAGACTTGGAATCCAGAGTGTGTGTATCTTCGCCGTTCGGTTTCAAGTGCCTCATGTAACAGTTTGTACATCTCATGACACTCAATGGCGGGACGGCCACCGCCGCGGACACCACGGGTGGCAGTGGGCCAGCCATCCCAAGTCGACCGTCGGCGGACTCGATGAAGTTTGAAAAGTATAGAACCAAAGTGGTGCTCGCCATCCTCGAAATTCCGTACATGCGTCGATCTCTCCACCCCGATCCCTTGTGTGCTCACAATGCATTAGACCTTACGACCGAACCGACAGCGACGTCCGCATCGTGTACCAATTTCTGAAGGACCGCGAGCTGTTTTCATTCTTATCATCTCACGCTTTGCTATGTACGTTCCCCGATCGACTGCACCATTGGCCGCTCATTTTGGTGTGTTGGTAGATTTGGCTGCAGAGGTCTTTGTATCGGTACGCTCGTCTGCAGCATTCACCACGATGCCCTACCTCAACGCTGCACGAACGACAGCACTCGATTGAGATACTCACGGTAACTTGCATCGTAGAGAGCTCAGGATGGCGACGTGCTTCACTACCAGGACGATGAAGTGACAGGGGATTCTTGCATGCACATCATCGTACGCTTTTAAACCTTCTCGGACCACATGCAATGACGCGTGTCTTTAGCTGGAAGGGAGTTTATGTGGGTACAAGAGTGACGCATTTTCGCAGCGGACAAACCGCGATGCGTCGTTCCCGCAATGGTTGGCCACGCATTGCGCCGAATCCAACGAGCCTCTCGACTTTGGCGAATGTGTTACAACGTTCCACAGCGGTAAGTTGGTATGTCAAAGAATCGATTGCAGCGTAATGTTCGTTCTCATTCGTAGGAGGTACAGTCGTCGAATGTGAAGTCGCGGGCCCCTCGTCGACGTGTTTCCACGTAGCCGAGTGCGGCTTGACCGATATCGCGTCCAAACACACAGTCCACCGAAAGTTTTCCGTGGTATGTGCAGTAGTATGGTGGTCGCGTGGCATGAGTTCTGGTGTGTCGAAGCTTGCTCAAGAACCGACAACAGCCGTGTCCATTCGAAAGGTGTGCCGCACACAGGACAACGATATATCGCTTTACGGCTCTGTGCAGGACACGATGGAACGGGCGACTGCATACATGGGCGCCAAGACCAGCTCGGTATATGCCGTACAGGTCCTCCACGTCGAAGAAGCGGCGTGCCCCTGACGCTCGTTGTAGGACTCGGCCGACCACCACCAAGAGGAGAAGTCTGTCTTGCATTCGTTCTTGGCGGCGTTTCCGTTCATGACTCAGGTACCGCAGCTCCACCAAAGAGTTTGACACCACGAGCATCCATGTAGCTCCCGCAACCACTTCAGCTGCGCCTGGTCGACGATTGCCGTCAGCGCAAGCTTCGAAAGCATGAGGCGTGTACGTAAACGTATACGTGTACGTGATCATCGATCTATGGGCGTTGTAGTGTTGGGCCAAGGAATCACGTCGCACGATATCATTGTGGTACTGAACGGCCGCCTCGGGTCGTTTCGGCTCGACCGCAACAACATCGCGACGGCCATCGGTTCGTGTTTTACTCGAATATCACAATCCTTTACGGTTGGGTTAGAAGCCGGCACGAATTCTGTGATGAAGCATTACGGCGTCGAGCTTGCCCAAGTGACCGCTGGCGAGTCATACGGTGACTATCATCTCTGGAGTGAGGCGGCCACCGATGCGCGGCAATCCGCTGAAGCCACGTCACCGCCATACGTCGTGAGTCTCATCGCAACAGAGACGACGCACGTGGTGCTGTTGGACCGCCGCCACTACCGGCACATAGCAGCAACCCACGTACCAGACAACAACCTCGAGGCGATCGCAGCGATAACGAGACTGGACCGAACGTGGCGCGACGTGTGCGATCTCAAGGCCTGGCTGAAAAGAAAATATTTTTTCCAACAACTGCCCGATCGGATCGTGCGTCGTCTGGCCGAGAGCGCGATCGGGGCCCCTCCCTGGCCAATCGACAAGGTCGTATACAACAAGGCGAGTGACGCTGACTACATTTACTTTGTCGTGGCCGGCGCTGTCCGCGTGCAGTTGTACGTCACTCCATCCATGGCCCTTGCATTGAACCACCTGCAATGTGATTTCGAAATCCGGTAGGAACGCCGCGGATCCTGGTATCGACGTCCTGCCTGGAGACATGTTTGGTGTGGATGAGGTCGGCGCCAAGCGAAAACGGCAGCGCGTGGCCATAACAAAAGCCGCCGACACGATTCTCCTCAAGTTTCCCTCGTCAGTTTACATGGAGTGCCTCGTCGAGTTGGCGGTCGACTTGACGTTCGCGCCGTCGACTGGTTTCCGCGCATTGGAATGCTACGCTGCCCCTCCGTCTGTCGCCGACGTAAACGAGCTGGCCAAGTTCTTTCGAAACGTTCGCGTGCTAGCTCACCTTCCGTTCTACGTAATGTTGGAGCTCGTGCCATACTTCCGCGTGCGGAACTTGGATGTGGGGGACCTCGTGTGCGCCGAGGACAACGCCACCGACGAATTTGTGTCAGTCGTGGCAGGAAAAGTCGCGTGCCACAGCCGCGATCGCGCCGACGAAGCAGCCGAGCACTTGTTCCAATCCCATCCGTTGGTGCATGTTCCGTCGATGCATCGAGAGCAAGTGTCGAGCGATGCCAACACGTGTCCTGCCGGCGCGACCAGTATGGAAAAAACATTCGCCGTGATGTATGGCACCCCTGTGCATGTGTTGGAGCCTGGGGACACTTGCCGCACGGGTTACATTGACGCAACAGCCATGCGACGGTAAGTTTCTTGTGCCACACCTTACACAACTCTGCGATGACATGCTCGATGGTGTCATGAAGTTGATGAGTCCATGTATTAGAGCACCGATGACGATGGTGGTGACGGCGCCACAGACGACCGTCGTGGCCATTTCGGAACACGATGCTGGACAAGTTCTTCAGCGCCTTGTCGAGTGGAGCAAGCCGAATCGCAACATGAAAGACTTGGTCGTTCAAGGTATTCGTTCTCCGACTGTGTTTTGTGGCAAACATCCATGGAACACTCTGCTTTGGCTGACATGGTCCGTATGCTCTGTAGTTGGCAGCTTGGACGCGGCCGGAACGATTCAATTTGCACCCGACGAAATTCAGCAAGTGTTGGCCCATTTAAGGTATCCAGTCGACCACCCAGACAAAGTCGTCATGGATACCAAATGCATGCAATTGCAGCCGGGGGACGTGGTCGTTCACGCTGGTGCGTACGCCTAGCCGAGTCCGTCTCTAAAAGTTGGTTTTTGTTCGTCCAGGGGAGCTTATCAAGCATTTAGTTGTCGTTGTGTCTGGCCAGCTGGCTGTGTCGGTGATTCAGCCCAAGCTTAACACAGCGCCGCATACCACGACCAACCAAAACACCAACGTCTTTACGAAACTCCTTACGTCCAACTTCAAAAGCACTTCAAAAACGTTGGCGGCGGTGGGGATTCGGGACGGTCGACGGTTCTCGACAGTTCTCCCATCCATCGCAAAGATGAGCAAGCAAACACCGTTCTGGCAAAAGCCGTCCACGATTGTTCCCCTACCTAGCCAGCGGTCGTCCTTGCTTCGACTCGATGTATCACCAGGCAGCAATATCTCGGCTAAGACGGTGCACACGTCGTCGTCCGCTCAGTTGATGCACAAGGATCCATTCCCTACAAGCAAAGACGACGGCGGGAACGTGTCCGCAATGCCAAATCGAATGCGACCGATCGTCACACTACTGCCAGGGGATGTGTGGGGTGGGGAGGTAGTTTTTACGAGGAACTGGCCCAGGTATGTCTAGAGTTTTGCGAACGCCAGTCCAGGACACCATTTGTCCGCCCACTAATCCTCTCTCGTAGTCTCCACGACGTCGTGGCGGAGTCCGTCGTAGAAGTGATGCTATGTCCGAGAGAGACGTTTGTCAACCTCCGCCGCGAGGCTGTCGCAGCCCGCTCCAAGAAATCCGATTCGCACTCGAAGCGCATGTAAGGCCCACGTCTATAAATGTTATGAAGTCAACATCGTTCCTAGCCTCGCCAAAGCGCACTGGAAGCGTGCCAACAACAAGGTGCTTTCGCAGCCATCCAATACTGGGGCTGGGCCCAAGAAAGCCTCTGTCCGGCCATTTGAATTTTGTGCTCATAGGTCGTGGAAACTATCTTGAGCTCCACCAACAGCGCCGAGGAAAAGCCAAAGTTCTGGCGCCTGCTCGATCAAGCCGCGAGCCAGCGCATCAAGTTGATCATCAAGCACCTCTCGCACATGGAGTTGTTTCAGAGCATGGAGGACGCTACGATATCCGCCATCGTCGCGTCTGCACGATACGACACAGTTGAAAAGGGCGAAACAAGTACGTGCCCTTGGCAAAACCCCACTACATCGACAGAGATGCGCCTTCGTTCTGTAGTCTTCAAGGCCGGAGACGCCCCCAAGCGCTACTACGTAGTCGTGGCAGGCGCCATTGGCCTGTACTCGCCCCATGCCCAGCTTGAAGATGTGTGCCTGAACGTGATCAAATGCAGTGGTGGATTTGGCGAGTTTGAAATCCTGACCGAGCAGCTCACACGGTGGATTCTTCCACTGAATTTTCAGGTTGACATGCTATTGACGATTCGCTAGGTCTTTGTCGGCCATCGCCGAAGACTCGTCAAAGCTCATTTCGTTTGCGTCGCAATCGTTCCATGACCTGTGGGACACTACCAAACTCGACGCGATGCGCCACGAGATCAAGTTTTTCCAGCAACTGCACTGGGCCAACCGCCTCGACATGGACAAACTGGCTCACATTTATCACACAGCACAAGCCGTCGGGTACCAAAAAGGCGCCGGTACAGTCACCACTTTGAACGGCTTATGTCTGTTGTGTATCGTTTGGACTTGATGTTGGGTGTGCCATGTGCCATGCTGTAAACGCCACATTCTTGCGACTGGATTCCCAAGCTTCTTGTTGAACGAGTAGATGTCGTCCGTCTCCATGCGCACATGAACACGTGCTTTGTCATCAAAGAGGGCACTTGCTATCTTGGCAATGTCCTGCCTGTCCAAGCCAAGAACGGCACGACCGACCAAGTCGACGTCATGCAGGTATCAACTCCTCTTGCTCAAGTGTCCAAAGGTATGCAATCTTCGTGCTTGTTTCAAACTGTCCGGCCACTCCAACCCATGATGCACATTATTGTGCGAGCATCTAGGCCACTCGATCTGGGTCCTTGGCGTTGCTACGTTCAGCATGTCGGCCGCGACTGCCAACACCATCGTGTACCATATCAGCTACGACTTTCTCAAAGCAATCATGCCCAAGCACCACCTGGGACGGCTCGAGCGACAGGTCAAACAGCGTGACCAATATCATGCCGATCAATCCGCCGTACGTGAATAACTGTGTTCGTCGTCCCTTTCAACGTTGCTGCATTGTTTCCTTCCATTGTGTGGAATACATTCTCTCACGGGTGCTTCTTCCTGATGTTGATACCAATCATTCCTTTACATTCAACCTGATTATCTGCCGCGGGTTTGCTAGCGCCTACGACAACTGGCGCTCAACGTGCTCAACACCCGCACGCACGTGGCGATGAGTGCAGGCGAGCCCGAGATGTTCCTCCCGCCCATTGACTTGACCAAGCACGACGTGACGATGACCGACGTTGTCGCGGCAACGGCGCTCTCGTTGGCCGAAGTGCAGGCCGCCCGAAAAAAGATCGATCAAGTGCAGTCGCCAGAGTACACGAATACCAACGATCCGAACGACAACAACAAACTGGCGGACGAACGATCGGTCCCATCCAAGTTGATGGGTTCGTTCTGGAAGAGTCGCAATCCCGGACCGAACTACCACCGACGACAGTCGACCATACAGCCAGACACAAGTTCATCCACGAACGCCCCACGAAGGCAAACACCTGCTGCGAAACCATTCTTCCCGACCGAAGTGCCCGACGTGGACGAAGCGACCTTGGAACAAGCGGCCACGGAAGCGTACTACATGGAACGGTACGACGTAAATTCCCCATTTCGGACGCTGCGGCTCGACACAGTCGACAAAGTGGAGGCTGCCATGAACGGCCCCCGCATCGACATCGAAGCATACCAAGTACTTCAGTACGTGATCGATGCGACTCCGAACGAGGAGGTGGCCAACGACCAAGGGCGGCCACGACATCCACAAGCAGCCAACCACCACATCACAGCTCGAACAGCAGCTACCACGATTGACTTAGCCACTGGTCTGAGACCGTGGAAGCCACCACCCCCCGCCACCAAAAATCGTTTGCGGCCGGTCAAGACATCCGATGGACGACAGCCACGGCTTCCCCCAGCTTCGGCAACAGCGACCAAGGTGGGCAAACTCGCCGTTCGAGTCTTCACCAACCAAGGAGCCATCGCCATGGTGCACATGGTGGCCGAGTTGCGCGGGACGACGCTGCGACTAAGTCGAGGGGAGCGCAGCGACAGTTCCCACGTTGGCGACGTTCAAGCGTTCGAATGGAAACTCAAGCTTGGCATGCGGGTGGTGCAATGGCCAGACAACGCGGCGACGCCGTGGGAATTCAAACTTGATGTCGGCGGCAACAACCAGCCACGCGACATGGTCACGTTCATGGCGTTGTCGCTGGCAGACAAAGCCCAGTGGGTCGCACTGCTCACCAAAGCCGTGACGTCGTCCATGCCAGACAAGTCGTCTTCTTCCATATTCACCCTCAACCCAAGCCGCATCATGCCAGTCAAGAAGCCCGACGTCGTGCGACGCGTTCAGACCGTGACTGAGGAGATTCTGCCCGCAGTAACGTACGTTGTCGAAGGCTTGGAGCACTGACACTTGGCCTGACGCCATCGCTCAAACCATGCCAACGATTCGTCTAAGACTGGATAAAAGAACGCCGGCTCGTGTGCTTTCTTGGTGGTTGAACGCCGCACGGTCGTGGTCGCCGAGACCGCGGCGAGCAGTTGCTCGTCCTCTTCCTCGTCCTCTTCCAGAATCCACGTCTCTGCCCTCGCACGCGACGGCATCCCACGCAGCTTGATCACGACTGCCACAGCCACGACACACGCCAGCGAGAACATCACGAACGAGAGCATGTTGATTGTCGGGACTTCGAGGAGCTGCATGGTCGGTGTGGCAGTCGACGAATTCTGAGGGCTGTCGACGGCGGTAAAGCAGGTATCCGGATGGCTAACCAATTTTTATTCACAGGAGCAGTAATACAATAGTGTGAAATTTTCAATCGTTTAACCTTCTTCCGTGGGTTTTGGCGAGCTAGAGCTCGCGAATGCTGCTGCATACTAGCTCACCCTCACGTTTCCATATTGTTTGTTTCCAGCCCTGCTCACAACAAGCCATGCCATCAGAGAGAGAGAGAACAATCGAATTGAGACGTTATTCGCTGATTGACGACACTGTTGAAATGTATACCAAAGTGTGGGTGCCAAACTCCTATCCGGATGATGGTGAGGGTTGTCAAAACAAATGGACCTTTTGGTGATTTTGCCATCGAAATTTCCACAAATTTTGGTCAAAACCGAAACGACAACATTTCCATCGAGCACCGACGAAACCCGATGGCCACAACCGCGACGAGGCCATGGACTCGCGTGCCCAAGCTCATCGTGTTCGACTTGGACTTTACCTTGTGGTATCCTGAAATGTACGAGCTGGCTGGCGCCCCGTTCCGCCGTAGCGCCAAGGGTGTGGTGACCGCTCGCGACGGCGAGGAGGTGCATTTGTTCGACGCGGTACATCCTGTGCTCCAAGAGATTGCGTTTGGCACTGAGTTTGCAGAAACGTGTGTGGCGGTCGCATCTCGTACTACGTATCCTGAATGGGCTTGTGAGTGCATGGATTTGATCTTGGTCCAGTTCAAGGTACACTGCCCTTCGTGAAGCGTCGTTCCTGACGTACTTCAGGCGTTGTCCACGTCAGAGAAGACGATGCAGCGTCGAAAAGGTCTAAATTCCAAATGCGAAACCCTGGCCAACCTCGTGCAGTACCAAGCCATTTACCCGACCAACAAGCGCGTGCACTTCAAGCAACTGGCCGATGACAGCGGCGTTGCTTTCAGCGACATGCTCTTCTTCGACAACGAGTACAGCAACATTCGAGATATCTCTGCCATCGGAGTTACGTCCATCTACTGTCCTGACGGCCTCACGTGGGACGTGTGGGAGCAAGGCATGGCGGCATTTCAATGCAAGTAGCAAGTTGCATTGGTCATGAACCTGCCCAGCTTACACCTCTATTAAGTATGAGCAACATGAGCATCGGAAATGCAGCGTATGGAGTACTTTGCGACCGTGTATTCCTCAAACTGGATCAATTCGGCCTGCGACAGCGTACATATTGTTGCTGGCCAAGTGTTCCTTCCATTGGGGGGATTCGGGCCCTCGTTCGCCGAGGTAGTCCAAGGAATCTGCCCATTTCGTTCACAGGCCTGTGGTAGTGACTTGTCCATGCCAACCGATATGAAACGAGCGGCGGTACGTACCGAATCGGTTTGCCACTCGCCAAGAAATCTTTGAAGGTACTCTGCAAAGTACAGGATGGACCCCAACTTTGTTTTATTGAGTTCGATTGGCTTGGGCCTCCATTTGCTGTCGCAAGTAAATCTCCTGCAACGACGGACGGTGGACCACCGATTGGCCACGGACTTGCTCAAGAGATAATTGAATGCGCATCAAGTCATTCTTGAGGTCACGATGTTGGGATTCGACGTCACGAAATACCCGATCGACGCGCCGTTCCATCTTGCAACGCGGGTCACGTCTCGACATGACACAGTACCCTAGCGCACCCGCGGCAATTGTCCAAAACCACGCGGAGCGCGGCGAATCGCGCTTTGAATAGTAATAGTGATTGTGGTACGCGGGACCGGCAGGTGGAGGAATAGGCGATGTGGTGGTGGAGAACGGGCTGCAACGAGGGTGCGGGGCCTTCATGCGCATGGCCTTGATGGCCCCCATGATAGGGCGAAGTGCACGTTGCATATAGATACGAGGTTGTTTGCAACGAAAGATCGCTCTGGATCGCCCAACGCACTCTTGAACGCGGCTGCGATCAAGATGCAAAGTGCCCAAGTTGCTCCACAGGGTCGTGCAACATGCATTCTGTCATACAATGCTGGTCATCAAACATGCATTCTGGTGTCCAATGTTGGTCGCTGTTGTGGTGGACGACTTCGATCGACGACAACGACAATCACTCGGGGGCGGAATGAAGTTCTCGCTGGTCCACATCCAAATTTGGTTCCCACTTGGAGTGTACGGGCCATTTCGACGACATGGCTTTCGTGTTCCGCCGATCGGTAGTTGTCATGCAGCGCTCAGCAGCCCGCCATTTCACTTCGTGTGGGCCAGCTGCGCAAGGATCCGCGCCAGGGGCAGTGCCACCCCCTCCAGGGATCTGGGCGCGCCGACTGAACAAGTATGAACAGCAATACGAATTGTTGGCTGCACGACTCCAAGGCACGGATGGTTGCAAATGGATCGGCAAGGGTTCCGTGATTGGTTTCGTTCTTGGAGGCGTCGTTGGAGCAGCGCTGCATTCAAGGCGCTCTACGTTCGATAACGATGCAGTGCATCGCATGAAATCGCTGGCGACGGAATTGCAAGAACAGTCGCGAGTCTTGCAGATCCAAATCGCATCCATTCAAGAAGCAGTGAACCAACTCAATTTGGCCATGTTGAGTTGGGTCCCTCCCCCGATGCCCCCTTCGTAAGCGAACTGTTTTGATAGCACGGGGACTCGTTACTACATTGGACTCCAGGCGTATCGATGAAGCAGCGGTCAGGAAACAACGATCGGATCAACGAATGCTGGCGTTCCAAGAGGTTGCTACTTACCATTCGTCCTGACACGCCTCCTTTGCCTTGGGCTAAAAAAAGAGGTTGTTTGTGCAGGTGGAGCGCAAGTTGGAGCGTGATGTGCAGATCGCTGATTCGTATGGAGAAAAGGTGGAGCGCTACATGGAATTTATCGGGGCGCTTTGCGACACTATAGCGAAGGAAGTGGAAGAAAACTCGGATCGACAATCGATGACAGAGGAGGACTTGGACAGCATGGATGACCTTTTGTCGTTCATGCGAGCTGTTGCAACGAAGACCAAGTCGTCCAAGGCTGAAACATCAGAGGGCTAGCAAAGTAATTGAAGACGCCAACAATTCCCAAGGCGTATTCGAATTCGATATCTCCTTGTTTCGTACGTCGCAGAATGTAATCGGAGGGAGATCTGTCGGCATGTGAAAATCCACCCAAGCGATGGCATTCTCTGGTGTACCTCTGACATGGCAAGAAGACACAGCCTTATAGTTGACACATTCTCACTGCAAATTATCCCACGAAGCCATGGAGCCACGGACAATCGATCGCGTTCGTCCCCTAGCACGCCGAGCCATGAAGCGACCGCATGAACGAAGTGCAGCAGTTTTTGCGCAAGCCATGGGAAAGGGGATGAAAAACTGGCGCCACAAGAACTGGACCAGCCATTCACAACTCCAAGGTATCCAGAGTGGTCGCGTTAACATGTATTCCAAACACTATCGAAGTGCTTCCGTTTTTGTTTCGCGTGGAGGAGTGCTGCTGGGAGTCTAGACATCCGCTGTGTCGGTACGAATATGGTGCCAAACTTGTAAACCCTTCAGCACATCGGCAACCATTCAAGAACGGCGTGTGGTCGTGCGCGCATCGCCCGTCGACACAAGCGTGATTGGAAGGACGACCTTCATTCCCCGGCGAATGATGGTCATGGACCAGAAACACGCATTCCAAGACTGGAATGGTGGTCTCGCGTCCGATTTGCTCATGGCGCGATCCAGTGACCGTCACATGGGTCACTTTTCAAACGTCCCACAATCCGCCAAGCACCGACTGAGCCATGTCCACAGCCCTTCGTCGATGCGCTGTGCACTTGCGTCGTACAAAGACACCTGCTCGACGATTCAACTCGGGAACCCCCCAAGGACCCGCCGAAGCCGCCCCTGGGCACCACGGTCCGACACCGCCACCCCCCCACGGTGAACTCAAGTGGGCGAATCGACTCAACGACATGGAACGAAAGTTCAAGAGCTTTTCGTCTGGGGAATTCCATGGACAACACCGGTACAAAGGTCCGTTGTGGGGATTCCTCGGCGGCGCCTTCGTTGGCTACGTTGCACGTCCGGGGAAAGAGTCGACACTCGATGTCGAAGAGCTTCGGCGCCTTCGACACGTCGCGCGGGATCTGCAGGACGAATCGCGTGAGCTCAAGAGTCGTTTGGCGTTGATGCAACAAACGATCGACCAAATTCGAATCGTGCAGCACCAACACGCGATCCCGCCTCGCCCGTGCGCTTAAGTAGCGCAGTGTGCGCTGTGAGGGCTTAAGAATAATACCGATGGATATTGCTTGATTTCGCCCAGCCGTCCACCAACGAAGTGACGCTCCGCTTGCCTTGTTCACGATGACCCCATTCGTTTCATAAGGGCCGCCCGCTGTGTCGGGAATGCAGGGACAAGGCACGGAACTGTTTCGATGGAAAATTCAACATGGCGACGCCACCATTTTGAGTCGAGTACATAGCTGTAGTCGCATCGGGCGAAGTGGGTGGACGTGGAACGTCTACAGTAAGCACTGTGGCAAAGGTGATGCAAT